AAGCCACGTTACAGAGGCTCCGGGGTCATTGTCGCACTCTACGGGGATTTCAACGGTATGTTGTGCTCAAAAACCTCAGGTGCAATATCTTCACCTATTTACTCCGTGCTTTCTAACCCTAGGATTCGACGTCCTAGAGCGCTCCCTCTTTCTGTTGTCTCCTTCTGTAGGATTACTCGCTCTCAGGAAGATACTACTGCATTCCATACCTTTTTGGATAACACTAGGCCTAGCAAGGTTTACCCATCACAGTAGATAGGACATTACTCCAATGTAAAATTACGATTGACAACTGTTTACTTTAGATTAATATCTAAATATTGCAAATAATACACTTTTAGTAGGAGATAACCTGAGATTTTTAACGCTAACATGCTAAAAAAATTCATGAATACCTTAAATATACTTTTAACACTATTTACCTTCTCAATCTGCGTTGCCCGTCGGCTAAATTAGAAAATATTTATTAACAAAATTATCTATTATATATATTGAGAATCCACCGTAACCAATTATACTTTTTCTTTGGTTTACTCTTCAAGAAAATAATGTGCCAATTCTTAAAAGGCCGGCAACGCAATCGCGAGCCCTCTGGAATTGAGTGTCCATGGGCGGCGATATCACTTAACGTCAGAATAACCTCTTGCCCGTTTACCTCCAGTTGTAAGTATATTAAGATTTCTTAAAACTTTAATTGTCAATCAAGACATTTTTCTGGCGTAGTATAATCTCTACTTTGATAGACAATTGCGTGTTTATATATTTTCTCTCTATGAGGGGCAGTTAAACTCTCTAAATGAAATAATAAAGTATCAAAATTTTAATTCGCAGTACACGACAGGTAACCACAGGTGTTACCACGAGACAATTTCCAATATATTAACTAGATCTGGTTTTATATGTTTGTTTGTAAATCGACCCTTAAACGGCGATTTATTTTATAATTTGAATAGAGTTGGAAATTGGTTTGGGGTACTTAAAATTACAGAAAGGATTTGTATTTCGTAGGAAGTATAAATTTGTTGTATTATACTATTCGTTATCCGTCAGTTATATTTAGGAACCAGTGAATATTATGTTGACAGTGGTCGACGTGGGATCGCATTATGTAATTGAACTTGTCAAATACAATTGTCGTACACATTAAAGTATTAAGTCAAGTGCGTCTGAGACGACACAATGCAGAGTGTAACGAAACAGAAGAAACTTTAACAGAGATCCACTCGGCATATACATTGGTACATAAGAAAAATAAAATAGTAGATTTCAAGTCAAGTCAAAGTCAAATATCATTTATACATATAGGTAAACCAATGTACACTTATGAACGTCAAAAAAGAAATATACATTTAATGCTAATTTTACATTTACTGCCACTCAATCTCAAAAAAACGGAAGAAAGGAACTGGCAATAAACTCTCCGCCACCCTTTTCGATCGCCAAGTTTTTTGTTTTGCACAACGTTTGTAAGGAGCTGCAACCATTACACCATGTTCCACATGACATCTTAAGTAATAAATAATAATAAAATAAATTAAAAACAAAGATTTGTCCTCTATCAGCAGTAAGCATGGTGAAATAGGAGCACGAACTTACATTTTCGTTACACGCAATTTAATTTTTAATATGAAATTCAAACTAAAGGCAAATTGATTTCAAAGTGTGATTCAGACCTTGCTCGTGTTGATGAAAGCTAAGCTACCTCTGAAAAGATATTATCTAGAGAGTTCACGAAATTTAAATTTAACGTTATAATCAGTCAGCTATTGTATTGCTGTAAAATCAGTCAGTCTAGACTGATTCGCTTGTCTAAAGGAAATCGATGGAACAGCCACCAGAGAGAAATGTATCTTCCCCAGAGTGTATACTGTATAGGGACTTTTAAAAAAAATTCTTTGAACACGTAATCTTTTTAAAAGTATCTTTTCAACTGTACTAAGCGTAGTTTCTGAAAAGTTTTTTTATGTAAGTATGTACTTAGTATTTATTTATTTTCATATATTTATCAAAAAATAATATTGGAATATTGTTAATTTAAATGTATTTATTTATTTACACTTCTTTACATACATATAAAAAATAGATTACATAAGTTATTAAGGCAACGGGCGGCATTATCGCCAACAAGCGATTTCATTCAGGCAACTCTAGTATGGAAAAATAAAATAGAAATACCTAGAGCACTAGAGATATACTAACTAAAAGTATAATAAATTAATCTTAGGGTTAATGAGTCGTAATTAATATAAGTAGTTAATTACGAGGCTGAAAAGGAACACTCAAAATGAAGATTCTTTAAAGATTGAGCTCGTCAAGAGGTAAGGTCAAAAAAATCAAAAGTCAAAAATAATTTATTCATATCATTAATTCATTATAAGGAAAAAAGACCATGTGGAGTTTATGTAAGGTGACATCAACGCTACGGATTTAAGGAGAACTACATGAAACTTGTATATTATACAAAAAAGTCAGAATCGCTGTAACAAGTTACAGGGTACCCGTGTAGGATGTCCGTTTTAAGGAGTTTCTTCTTATTATTCAATTATTGAGTTTCGTTTCAAAACTTAAATACTCTAGCAAATTATTAAAAACGTCAATAATTTTTAAGTCAATTAAATTCTTGGTTAAAGAAAAATTTAAAGTCCGCGGGTATAAAAATAATATTTACCGCTAAGTAGGCCTAGCCTTTTGAGCTGAAACATCGCAGAAAAATCGCGTCGAGTTATAAATATGAATTAATACTACGCAGTGTTGTATTTAATTATGAAAAGCCGAATTTTACAATTATGTATTCATTATTTGAAGAAAAATCGCATGTTTTTCCATATTTGAACCGATTAAAGGATTACCAAAATCGGCTTAGCGAGTCGGGCGGAAATTAAAAAATATAAGACGGTTTTGTTTTTTCATAACGATCCCTTTAGAATTGATGCAAGCACGTTTTTAATCCTACTTTAGAAAGAGTGTTATGACTCATATTTGTTTAAATATTGGTGGCGGAAAATAGCGGTGTACCTATCTATGTCAAAATTAATCGTTAAATGCATTTACTATGTATGTTAGATGCTATTTTATTTTAGTAAGGTAACGCTGGTTATAAGGAAAAGGACAAAAATTATGCGTTATCAAAAATTAAAAAACTTAGGATGGAAATACGTCATAGAATTGTATATCAAAGATGAAAGAAGGAAAAGAGCCGGAATGATGGGGAAGATTAGCTCGTGAAAGAGACGAGTGGAAACAAGAAGGGCTACTGATAATTGTCCTATAAAAAAATATAGTAAGCATGTATGTTATCGCTTAGTTTAAAATAATGTAAATATATTTATTTGTTTAGTGAATTTGTGCTTTTATTATTATTATATATTATTAAGGTAACGCTGAGTTGTAATTGTAATTTATTAAGAGACAAGGTTTAAATGATTTTATTAGATTGAGAGTTTTTTTAATAGAAAAGAGATGTTAAGTGATAGACACTTTCAACGCCAGACAGCTCAGACTTTAATTTAAGTAAAAACCGTATTGCATTTGACATACGCGAGAACTTACTTTCAGAGTTCCAATTCTACTGGTGGGTTGTGAGGTAAACAATGGAACTTGTAGTTTTTTTCAAGGGCCTGGATCTTTATATTAATTTTCCTAGGTCCCAGTGGCGTGGGTGGCAGGGCTGGCAAAAAGCCACGGGCCCCCGACCCAAGAGGGCCCCTGCCCAAGAGATATTAAATGTTCTCTGGAGACTGGATGAATGTGAAGTCTCCAATACGCATTGGGCTAGCGTAGGGACTACAGACGATTCCTTTTCGCCTAAGAGAGGAGGCCTATGGCCATTAGTGGGACATATACAACGTGTAATTGAGTACGCTGAAAATCTCGAAGTTTATTAAAATTAAACTGAATACAACGTGACGATTTTTACTGATAGGCCCCATCAAAAGAATTTGCCACGGGCCCCAGATGGTATAGTTACGCCACTGCTAGGTCCAGCTCATACTTATCTTCTGAATGACTTTGCCTACTGAATAAAACAGAATATTCCAAAACAAGAGACTCGTGCGATATCAATCGATAATTATGCTTGTAACATGTGTCTAACGATTTCCGGCATTTAGATAGGGATCTATCATTATTTGAAAGCTTTTTATGGACTATTAAGGCAAGTGGTTGCATGGTTCGTTAATTTGTATGCTTGTAGCGAAAATGTATTTGAAAAACTATATTTAATAAGTATTTTTAAATATGTGTTAATACATTTTTTATGGCATGTATAAATTCCACGAAGGAAAATATTACAATAAGATACAAAAATGTGTCTGCTCCGTACCATATGAAATTCGGAAATAATAAAAATAAATAAATAGATCAGTGGCGCTACAACCTTTTTAGGTCTGGGCCTGAGATTTTAGTCCATTCAAATGTTAAAATTTGAGGGCCAAACTGAACATTAAAAAAACTGGATATTCCATAAATAAAATTGCGTCCTCTAAAAAATGTTCAGCTAATGTAACATTTCAAGGGACTCTTTTTGTATCTGTTTAATTGTCATTTGTTAATCTAATAGGCGATCAGCCTCCTGTGCCTGACACATACCGTCGACATTTTGTGTCCTCACGATGTTTTCCTTCGTACGAGCGAATGTTAATCGAGCACATAGAAAGAAAGTCCATTGCTGCACAGATGGGAATCGAACTTACGATCTCGGGGATGAGAGTCGACCGCTAACGCCACTAGGCCAACACTGCTCGGAAACAATAATTTTAATAATACAACGATTCACAGTTTAGCCTCAAATATCGAGAATGATTGATACAAAACAAATTTTTAATGAAAAATGACTTGTATGAAAATTTTTCAATTTCAATTATCTACCAATACGGTCCGTTCCGTGGAAAATTAATTACCTTTCAGTTTCATACAATATTCAATCTTATCCTCTTTGAAATATAATACATATTTGCATATAAGATTGCTGTTTGTAGCTATCTCGCTCGCGTCTATGTAAAATGCTTGGTGCGAAAGAGACGGGAATAACTCATTACCTCGCAATGAAAACCAATATTATAGGTCAGTTCAATACAGAAGTGATTAAATATGCTTTTCACGTGACTATATGACTAACTACTTTTGTCAGTGGCTTTACTCACGGCTTCACTGCCCTGAGAAGACTGAGAGATTGGATAATCACTCTTCGAGTTTTTCGAAGTCATCTCTTTCTTCAGTCGGTAGCAAGGAAACATCTGGAGCGGACAAAGTTTCCCATTCTAATTAAAGAACGGTTTTCAATGTATAAATTCTGTATTAAAACCACGAGGTGGAACTCCTGTCTCAAGTAGAACCTTACACACATGATGTCCCTACATCATGACCTGAGTATAAATCAGTTTAATTGCAGTATTACCTTCCTTCACCACAAAGATGATTTCGTTTATAATTATTATTAATTACAGTAAACACCCTTAGAACACGCTACTCATATTACGCGATTTCAGTACGTCGTATAACATGGGTTCTTCTATTTAACGCGGGGATCGTACACGATATATTTATATATTGTGACATTTATAATGATTTAAATGCCCTTTAATGAGAAAATTATAACGTGATTTATTTGTACATGACGCGTTATATGGGTTCGTACAAGCGCGTTATGCGACACATACAACTGGTCTAAGATCCCGCTATACAACGACCTTCACCGAGATGCTTATTTAATGAAACTTATTTTATATATAATTTAATATGTCAATAAATATAATCCATATGGGTTGCCTAGCAAATTTCAGTCCAGAGTATGTTTAATTAATTTAAAAAAAATATATATTTTTTTTTAATTTTTATATTAAGTTTCATTAAATAAGCATCTCGGTGAAGGTCGTTGTATAGCGGGATCTTATACTAAACGTGTTTCCTATAACGCGGAACTAATCTACCGTGATTTAGGAGATATTACTGTATTACTATATATAAAAATACTTTATTGACACTTGTACACGATAAATATAAGGGATATTTTTACGTACATGCAAATTTTGAATTTATCAAAAAAAAAAAAAACAAAAGACTGTCGCACTAACGAAACTTAGTAATACGAGAAATGAAGAAATCAAAAGTTAATAGGGTTATTATGCTATCAAGTAGAAACCGCAAAACCCCTAGTTGTGGTTCAATGAACCGCATAAACAGACATTCATTTGTGTCTGGATCTGAACCGCGCGCCACCTGGCGTTCAACAAAGAGCGGAAAACAATCGCTCTTATTACGTATTCGTGTGGTGAAAGGCTAAGGTGGCAAGCGATTTAATATTTTTATATAGCCCTTTTTATAACTTTGTTACTAGTATGAGTGGTGCTACAAGCTTTTTAAGTCTGGGCCTCAGATTTCTGTATCTGTTTCATGATCATTTATCAATCTAATAGGCAAGTAGGTGATCAGCCTCCTGTGCCAGACAGATGCCGTCGACTTTTTGGGTATAAGACAAGACGGTTTCTTCACGGTGTTTTCCTTCACCGTTCTAGCGAATGTTAAATGCGCACATAGACAGAAATTCCATTGGTGCCGGGGCTCGAACCTACGACCTCAGGGTAAAGAGTCGCACGCTGAAGCCACGAGGCCAACACTGCTCTTTAACATATTATTAATATGTAATAGCTGTATAGTGTATATGTGTCCGATATACTAAGCTGATTTAAAAAAAAAATATACGTATTTTAGTTAGAATCAATCTTTTGACTTGTATCACACACAAAAATATTTTTCATAACACATTGATTTTAAATGCAAAAACCTTTGAACAAAACTCCATTGTTCGTACCTAGTTGTTCGGAATATGAACCCTAACCCTAAGTAGGGCTCTGAACGTTAAGAAAGCCCTAGATTTTGTTTTGACGCTAATGAACGTCGAAAACATGTTTTGAACAGACTTGTAAATTAGAATTTTAAATTTAAATTGTTTGACCGTAGAATTGTACACCGTACTCGCAGTGATATTGTATGTGTATATCATAGATATAGTGGTATGTTACGGCCTACCAGAACTGGTTTATTTTTTTAATTTTGGTAATAAATACAACATATACTCAGGAAAAATTTATTCTGATGGTGAAAGAATTTTTGACTTTAAGTATGCTAAGTTTTTACAAATAATCTCATAATAAAGAGACAATATAATTATATACCTACTTATATATTTATACTAGCAGACCGGCTAAGCGTTGCTGTGGCTAAGGTTTTTGTTATATTACATAGTAGTAAACTATTCAAGGGAGACGGTAGGAGAACATCAGTCATGGGGACCTCCATGCTTTTTTGGTGGTTATGCCATTAAATTGTAGCTTATGTGAATTGTTGGTAGGTACTTTCAACACAGCGACATCTGTTAGAATTGTGACTATCAAATAATAAACAAATATTTTGCAATAAAATAATATTACGGGTATAAATAAGATGTAAGCTATCCTATCTTTTAAGTTAGATCAAACTGCACACGTTGTGTAAATTTGATTGAAATCGGTTAAGTAGTTTAGGAGTCCATAGCGGATAAACAACGTGATGCGTAAATTATATATATTAAGATATATTTCTGCATTTTATAGATTATTTTCTGCACAGACAAATGGGTTGGCAGCCTTTTGTGCCAGTGGGCTTATAGTTATAACTTATAACCCACTTTTTTATCTCTTAACTTTAGAAAATCGAGTGTGTCTTTAAACTAAGTAATGTCAATAACATTCATCCTGATGTTTTGGCAGCATGATATCGTTCTAGAAATTTACACATATATTTATCATTGATTTATCTAATTCCAGGTGGAGGCTGCACCTTTCCAGCAGAATGGACCGGCAGCTGGTTCCAGTCAGGCATACCGTCGCTCATAGATATCAACTCCACCCATATACAGATGAAGGGAGAATGTTCAGAGACTGAGTCATATGATAAGTTTTTGTTGCATGATAGGTGAGTGTCATTGATATACAAAAACCCAAGATGCACACTCAACGTCAAAAACGTCCTCAAAAAATGAGCGCAACATTCTAAATTGTGCGCTCATTTCAAATAGTCTCGCGTCTACAAGTGGAGTCGATGTTATTTATTTGTGTTTTTTTATAAATAAATTTATGTACTCTTGAACTTCTTTGTGTGTAGTTTTTGACAAATATATTTACGCTATATAAAGTGTGGGTCAGGAGGTAGCCAATTTAACATTTTTTTTAATTTAAAGAAAAAACTTTTTAACCGGATTAAAGTTATGTATTATTATAAATTGACAACTATTTAACATCCAACACCTTTTGTCTTCAGTCACCGTGACCACTCACGCTGTAAAGCACCCGAAAAGTCGGATAAATTTAAAATTATGTTAAATAGTTGTAAATAAAAAGTCATGTCCGACTCCACTCAATACCTTGTCCTACCGACCACGTCGGTCGTAAAATTGTATTGCTTTAAGTACGTATACGCTGCGTTGTAATAACAACTTTAAGCAATTGCGTAAGGTTGATTTTGCAATAATATATGCTTGTAACATATACTGTTATGGACAGAAATATTGTTTGGACACTTTCGAGCGTTACTTTTATATGAGACTGTGCATCTTGGGTTTTTGTATAATAGGTGAGTGTAGAATTAAATATATATCGCAATAAGCGAAGGAGACTACCACGCATTGAGGGTGTAATGCCGCCTGGTGGTCCTGTGTTCAAATCCCGGCAAAATAATTAATTGGGTTGGTAGGGATAGAAACCTTATATAACCAATTTTGGCTATTGATAACTTACCACATCATAATTTAAATTGATTTAGCTATTTAGATATTTATATTTTATAAGTAAAAAAGGAGTGGCTTCAGCGTGCGACTCTCATCCCTGAGGTCGTAGGTTCAAACCCCGGCTGTGCACCAATGGACTTTATTTCTATGTGCGCGTTTAACATTCGCTCGAACGGTGAAGGAAAACATCGTGAGAAAACCGGCTTGCCTTAGACCCAAAAAGTCGACGGCGTTTGTCAGGCACAAGAGGCTGATCATCTACTTGCCTATTAGATTTGCAAATGGTCATGAATCAGATACAGAAATCTGAGGCCCAGACCTAAAAAGTGGTAGCGCCACAAAACAAAAGCTAATCTCTCTGTAAGTTGTGTTTAAAAATAGATTTTTACCGAAATCATTTTTTTTTTAAATTCTTAGTTTACACTTTTAAATATTACGCAATGCCATAAATGAGGACTTTAGTTCTGCTATCTTATTGGTTTTTCAATTTCAGGACCTTTGACTGCTACAGGTGTATGGTGATACACGAAAAGCACAAATATGTTCTGCAGTACAAAGAAAGTAAGTTTAATCGAATTCAATGTCTGTACGAGTAAATCGATATAATATAATAAATGTGTGTATTTGTAACGAAAATATACCGCAGATTATTAACTGTATATATTAATTATGGAAAATTATAACAAATTTATAAAGTTCGGTCCCTGTGGCGGTATACCATTATTTCTGGCAGCATTTCCTCGCTGTATTGCGATACTTATTCGTTGATCGACCAGCTCCGGGGTCACCGGTACTACATATCTACCAGGCGCCAACTTAAATCTTTAATTAGCGCCTGTGCACTTGAACCCTACGGCCCAATACCAAAATATTTAAATTTGTTTTAATTTTCTTTTTATTCATTATTATTATTATTATTATGTAGGTTAAGAATATTGTAAATAATGTATAAATAACTATGATGGAACGTATCAACCAAAAGCAACCAACGTCCTTCTGAAACTCGTTTTTCTTAATTCAGCTTACTGCAGTCAAAAAAACTCGCTCTCCTCAATATGTGACGAAATCAGCGGTGATGCTCCTCTCTACTCCATGTTCCGGAAGGATCCAGCCGCAGTTCCGCAGCCCTGTCCTTTTAGGCCGGCGCCGTTCACTTTCACTTATAACCGGTGAGATTTTTTTAGCTTATTTTCGTCGTCGTCATTTATATATTTACTAGCTGTTCCCCGCCACGCATCGCTGTTGCACAAAAAATAATAAAAAAATAGAAAAAAAACAATCCTTGATGCGTATTATATATTATGCTAAAATTTTGAGTTTTTGGTGCGTACACAAACCAATATAACATTTTCATATATATAGATTGGAAAAAATGCCAAATAATTACAATTTACATCTTAAACTACTAACAAATTTATAATTGTCATGGTATTCCGTATTTTCAGTGGTTCCGGCGACTGCGTGTACCCGCCTTCGCGAGCGGAGTCGTGTACTGACGATTCAAGACTGCTTCTAAGATACATGGCATGTCCCGATGTGCCTGGTACCGAGAGTAATGGTAAGCACCATCATCATATTATATCGCGCACCACCACTATGTGGAACCAGCTGCCCATTAAAGTATTTCTGAACCAATACGAATTAAGGTCCTTCAAGAAAAGAGCGTACTAATGCCTAAAATGCCAGCAATGCATGGGCAAACATGAAACAGGCAGGACGTTTGCCCACTGTTCTATAAAAAAAGCAGCGTACTTACGTAAGCGTTTACGTAAAATCCATAAAATGCATTTTAGGATGTGGAGTATTGTTATTTACATATTAAATCATTTAATACAATATATTTTATACATTAAGAGTTTAATTTGTAACGCCATTTCCAGTTGAAGAGCTGGTCTGCCTGGCCACATGGAAGGAAGGTTCCACAAGGTACCTAGTCGGGCAGATTTCTCAAGTGCAGAGACGGAACACCATCGCCTCTGATGAAGATACTTATCGGTATGTTTCTTGTGTATTTAATTTTAAATATATTTTATTAATCATAATAATCTATATATCTTAAAGAAAAGTATAAGAAAATCACAAGAATTGGCGGCTTGATTCTTTGATTAGGACAACTTAAAAATCGTGTTAAAATAACCGGTAACTTTACCGGTTATTTTAACTGACAATAACTTAACGCTTTACATTACTGGACAGACATACTCATAGTTGTTCATTACTTTAATGGTCAAATGCAATGGAAAGCAAAAAGCTTTAACGTAGAGAATATAAAAAAAAACCATTTGCACCATTATTTTAATTTAATAGATGATGAGTCCGTCCATATCTTTTCCTGCTCTCCATCTTCCATCCTTGGATTTGAAACATCTTGTCGTTATCTAGAAACATATATTTTATAACTTCTTTTAGGATTCTTTTTCTTCTTCCCATGGATTGTGATCTAAAATAAAAAAATATATTCCAGATGCTTCATCTACAAGGGCCTCCATGGTGACAAAAGTACTTCCTACATCATAGCTCAATCGGGTGATGCCACCTGCAATGGCTTGTCCTCACCGACAGATGGCAGCAGAACTATGAAACTAACTACAAGTATGTATAAACCCATATATGAATTAATCTATGTGAAATAGATTTGGAGGAACTATTTCGATATTAGTGATTGCAAAGTTAATATCGAAACCGAGTATATTTGGTTTTGTGTTTCTAATTACTAGCAAACAAAATTAATATCAGTTTGTGGGCTTTTTTACATGTTTTAAAACTACGCAACTTAACAAAAGTATTAAAGATAAATTTAATATACAGCTTTAGAAATACATTAATTCATAACGCGGTACCCGTATAACGCGATTTCGTATAACCTGTGGTATTCAATTGTGTTGTTATAAAACTAAACTACATAACTTAAACTTAAAAATATTAAACTCGTGTTCCTAGTTTTTGAATTGTTAAAAAAACGGTTTTACGAGAATACTCTTACAACGATATCCTATAACGCGGTCCGGGTTATACGGACTGTATATCTCTACATCATTAATTACTAGTTCGAATACTTATAATTAATATTATAAAAATATATGAACAAAAAACAATTATGTGATGGTGTATTTTGAAAACTAAAATGATAATTTATTTACAGGTGATGATGAGCACAACCGCTGTCATTTCCCCGGATGGATAGTGGAGCACCACAAGTGGTTCAGTCTCGACCACACCCATCAGTACCACTTTACTACCAAGAATGCAACTCTCAAGGTGAGACTTGTGTTGTCAGGTTGGCTTGTTGAATTAATGGGTAGCGGTTCGAGTAATGGAAAAAATATTATCGGACGTAGGACATAAAACTATATTATTTATTGTTTACACGTTTGTCATTTTTTTTATTATTCTCTTTCTCTCTGCATCAAAGACATTAATACTAATAAGTAATTAAAAACTAACCTTATTTACCAAAAAGGATATTTAACTTAAGAAAGTGCCCAACACTACTTACAGTCTCTATTAAGGGGAAGACATTCTGTTCTAGTGTACTATTTGTTATTCATTTACCACTAAACACTTAAGACTTACATAGCCTCGACATTCAAGTGATGGTGGAGCCTTTGTTCGTGGGCTCCAGCAGTCCTTTGATTATTGTGGCGACGTCCTCTATATTAAGGTCCCGATGGACGAGAAAATTAATAAAATTAATTGCTTGTCTACGATTTAAGTATACAAAATTGACAAACAAAGATTAAAAATACATAAAGCAATTAAGAATAGTGTTGCCTTGTTCAATGTACCACATTTGGTTTTTTTTTTCAGATAATGAACTCGGACGGTTCATTCGAAGAGAAGCGATTGGTATGTCATTCGATTTTGGAGCAGAAAGACAAGAAACATATTAAACTAGTCGCACACGTAACTAGGGGCTGGTACGTATTGAGAATCAGTTGTCTAATGCTGTGTAGACTACGAAGAAAAAGAACTGAAGTTTATTTTTACAGAGTTATTTCTTGGTTTCTTACCTCTTTAACTACTTTCAGTGAATCCGGTCACATTTGCCTCAAGTTCTACCGTCGTGAGGGCAACGTGTTGGAGTTGCAACAAGGAACAAATCTTTGGGAGTCGCCTCAAGACGCCTGCGCAGAGAATACTCAACCGTCGTATATAACGCTTATAAGTAAGATAATCTATCTAAGTACCTCTTTACCAGGCACTACACGGTTTTCGTATAAAGAAAAAACAGTACTTATTGTAAATTTATTAAATGTTAATATCAAAATTGTGTTTTCCAGCGACTTCACTAACACCAATGCGGTGTCCTATTCTCGGCCGATACTCGATCGTGAACTCGCTCGCCGATCGTCGCAGACGCAGACAACAAATTGGTAAGATCTCTTTTTCAGCATAATTAAATTATGATCAAAAGAATTACGATTAGTTATTGCATTGATTACGTTCTTTTCTTTGTAAAGTTCTATACAAAATGTGTGTCGTTGATTTCAACTATTTATTTAGTAGAAATAATTACTATTTTACTACGCATAAAGAAACGGGGGTTTTTACAATAATTCAGTATAATTCTAATTTGCACTTGTCATAATACAACAATTTGTCTGCCATCACACAGTGGTGGCAAATAAAAACGCTTATGCAAATAGAGACAAAATCTATGCTTCGTCCTGCTCACTCTCATTTAAACCTACGTTGTTACCTTTATTAGCTGTCTACAACAACAAATCAGGAGCATAATATGTTATGGTGTTATGTTTTTTAATATTCCAGGTGATCCAGATTCAGAAAGTAGTGAAATGTCTGAATGTGTGACAGGAGATTACGACAGTGCCAGCATTGGGTGTGGCGCTGGACAGGATACGATTGAGTTTAAGTCCTCTTGTAGTAGTACTGGTAAGTAGTTTAAACTTACTTAATTAGTACTTGGTATTAATTCTTTAGGGAGTGTTTAAGTATTACGCCACGAAATTTTTGGAGATTCTTAAACCCCCCCCATGTAACGCGCCGTAACGTTTTTCTGTAGCTCATTGACTCTTCATACCAAAAATTTACCATTATGTGGTTTAAAGCACTGGAAAGTCGAAAATAATATTAACAATAAAGGGTAATTCAATCCAACGTTTTAATGATTTTCATATTAAAGTGGATATACCATAAAAATAATTTAGTGTTTGTAAGTTAATCTAAGACTAATTTTGTTCAAAAATTAAAAATCAAGGCAAATTCCTTATACAATTTTCGTATAAGTTAGCAGAATGAGATAAAAAATTAAAAGAGAGAGAAGAGAAAGAAAATATTAGATTGTTGAATCGTCCTAATAGTACATAAATCTCCTTGCAGTATACACGTGCTACGGCAGCTGGCAAGAGAACGGCCGGGGCTTCCTGGTGGCGGCTCCCGTCTCCCGCTCTTCCTCTCATCCCAGGACATTCTGCTTCATGTATACCACCAGACCTGCTAATGGTAATAAATAAATATTCATTTATTTTTTAGTAATAAAAAGTAATTTATTGCATGTGAACGAATATATATAATGTATACGAAGGTATTACTCCAAAGCTGTATGTTTCAGTTTAGTTTCGTTGTTCCTTGATATAAATTCTATATTGCTACAAACCAGATGGAATCATAATCGAGCTATTTATTTATTTATAAATAGCTGCGCCAATAAGGCCACACATAAAAAATAAATAGAAATTTTGCAACCAATGTATGTACTCGATTGTAACGCTGTGGACAGCGTGCACAAACATAATGCGTATAATATATGAATGTTTACAATAAATAAGTCTACACAGACAAACATTTCTATAGGAACACAAAACAAAAGACGTCAAATTACAAAACATAGCGCAAAATGCTATAATTATGGTTTACATTTTTCCTGTAAAATGGTTTAGCTTGGTTTTAATATTACTCGATCAAGACCAGATTTCATAAGTATGAATAAAAATCGAATTTAATTGATTCAGTATTCTATTAGTAAAAAACTAAATCATACTTACCGTTATATTTTTCTTTTTTTTTCTATACAGGTCACAAGTATTAAAAAAACTATGTTGTTTGCCTTTTTTCCGAATTTTTTCTCTTATTTCCCTCTTGCGCAACCATTGTCAAACACTTGGATGGTTCTAATAATCCATTTCAAATCTTTTTTTTAATTCAGAGACCCGCGGAAGTGAATCAGTGTCTCTTAGCGCAGTGAGCGTGTCGTGTGACAGACGAGCCATTCCCGGACGACATGGTGATAAGGCATACAACCTCACTTCTAATGGTGAGTAAAGAATTTTCTTTTTGTTCCAAAATAATTTGACAAAAACCAATATACGATGTAAAACAATACGACTATACTCTGATTTTTATTCCGTAAAATTCTGACATTTCATAAGTGTTGCTACTAAAAAAGTTCTCCACCGATAAGGGGACGAATTTGACTTATTTGAGGGCAATAAAAAATGCTACGTATTTTTAATGTTTTACCTACAAAAAGGTAAATCTAAATATTTCAATATCACGAACAATATATCGAATTAACTTTAATTACTTTATTTTATTCTTTAGCTGGCTACTAATTCCAGGTTTAGTAAACTATTTAAAAAATAATTATCTTTACTTGTGCGTTTTTACTGTTTGTGATGAAAAGAGACGTAATTATCACTCGTCGTTAAACCATTTTTTATGTGGAGCACCGCACTTAATAAAATGGATCCATTAACTAACAATAAAATGTATGTATAGACTCAGATGTTCAGACCGTATTGAAATTAAAAAATGCGGCCAAAAAAAGGTTTGCGATCTCTGGCATACCTTTTTGGCCGGGCACATTTCTCTATATGTCAAAAAATGATTGATGTCAGAATTCTACGGAATTAAAAATCAGAGTATAGTTAATAAACTTGTATTTGTTTTCCATTTTTAAATGGTTTATTAATTGACAACAATTGAACGTTTTATAATGAAAGCATTTTGAGTAAATTTGGCCTTCCTGCCTTAATGCACATGGTGATTATCCCGGACTTCCTGAGATTCTCCTGTAGACTCCTGATAAAACAAATGTTTCATTCCCAGTAAAAATATGTCTGTAATATTCTTTCTTACTAATAATTTCAGGTACATGCGAGCAGAGCAGCAAATACAATAGCTTGGCTTTCAAAATCGCGCCGGCGGCCATTTTGATATTTGCCCTTTCCCTGACAGCTCTCAGGTGATACACTGGCGATATCTAGATATGACTTGTCATTCAACTTGGCCTATATTTTATTTCAATTAAAATCAGATTTGATATATCACTTTATTATTTGGTGATAATGATAGCTTGTTAGTTATATACAAAGTAAACGTTTACTTTAAAAAATATGTTTTTGTATTAATAACTTTTAACTTAGAGCAAAATTTGAATTTCAAAATATACTATATAGATTATATATTTACTTTATTTAACTTTTTATTACAGAAACTATTTAAATCTCATAATTTATATTAATCATAAAAGATTAAAATTGTTTTGACCTGAAAACTGGGCCGACATTTTGGAATGTCGATCACAATAATGGGAATTTAATAATTATTTCAATTTACATTTTCTAGAAATCGTTTTTTTGAATACCTGTGAGAAGTTCACAAAACAGCTTATAGTTATTTTGAACTAAAATATAGGCCCAAGTTTATATCAAAAAATTAGCGCATTTAAAATTAGTGTTGCTTTGTGATAAATAAATTTTGGCGGGAAATTTTCAATGTTGCCATTATTGGCGCTAGCAGCTAAGGTTCGCGTTATTTATTCTCGGTGAGATTCACTAAATGTTTGATTTAAGTGTATTACTATTACTATATTATTATACTTTAAAACAGCATTTTCCATAATTTTCTGGAATGGCAACTTTTGGCATCTGGTAGAATCACTATGGAATCATTATGGGTACGATTGTAAAATATTTGTTTGACTGTGTCTCCTACTAAGTACGAACGAAATGTAAATATATGCGGTTTGCTTATTAAAGTGGTGATTAATTGTAATTATTTAAAATTATTGCATTAATTAAACGGTTAATTGGTTAGCTAAGCTCAAAATCCCTTGAAGTAAAATAAGAGGGATATTAAAATAGTATGGACAATTAGATTTTGTAACTTGTAGGATATAAATCCATTTTGGAAGATACAATGTTGAAAAGAGAATTTTCAGGATTTTTTGGTGCATTGCCATTTTGTTTTTCTCTTTGACATAATGTATAAATACTTAATTTAATATCCTACTGGTTAGATTGTCTAAATCTGTCTCGACACGCTTTCGTAATTGTATGTTATATATAAGTTAGATAGATTAATAATAAGAATAAACCCTGTTTTCTTACGAGGTATATTTCGCAAATTTTAACTAGCGTCGTCTCATTTTCGTCAATAGGAAAAGAGTGAGATGAAAATACTCGTTTAACTATTTTCTTCAAATTTTTGGAATATACCTTTTACGTCGTTAAAGAGAGAACGAGGGAACAACTTATGACTTTTTTAAATAAAATTTACATGTTTTTTTTTATTAAAGAAATTGGCAGCTATAATTTTATATACAAATAAAATCCCAGTTTTGTTATTCTTGAGTTTTTAGAGTAACTTACAAACATGGTAGAAATAAATTAAAATTTGCTGAAACCTTTTTTTCTACTCAACGCTTACTATTCGCTAATTATAACTCCTGACCAATAGTAGTATTAAATATATTGCTCATAGTTCGAAATTTTATTTGTGATATAAAATATTTAAGATATGTAAATACAAACTAGAATCGAGTTCCTCATTTTATTATTTAACAACTGTATGGTTTGGGCGAGCGTTGAATTTGGATTTTTTGCAAAACATTTTAAGTACTCTGTGTCTTCCAAGCAGCGATATCGATCCAGAGTCGCAGGGTCATTTTAATAAAAAAAAATTTTTTTTTTCATTTTGATAGTCGTCTTTCAACTTGTTGATCTCCACTACTGGACATAGGCATGCCCCCTAAATTTCCAGTACGACCGACTCCCCGCGTTTTGCATCCAACGGATTCCCTCCACCCATCTGTCCACCTAGCGGGAGGCCGTAATTTATATTGTAATTGAAGCCGATCATCAAATTAACTAAATGCAGGTAGTTCCGGATCCTTCTCCATTTGGCGCCAATGAGTCGCTTTATGTGATGTTAATAAATAAATGTTTTTACGACGAACCCAAATTCAAAGCTCACGCGTGTAGAATAAGTATTATCGATGCTTGCCTAAAATATTTCTAAAAATATAATTAAAACTTAGCCGAGATGACTATTGTAAATAAACTAGTGGGATAATTTGGTAATATTTTGTAAACGTATCACAATTTTTTAAAATACAGGACATTATAAAGATAATAATGTAGGTATGTCGAATTGAATTATAACGAAATAAATGTACGGAAAGTTTATAATTTTTATCTAAATTTAAGATGTTAAATGCACAATATATGTAATACACTATAGTGAATAGTTGAGAGGCACGATGACAGCAGCTGTCAACGTCGCCGGATGTCAAGTTTGACAGTTTGCTGTTATAGCCCTGAAAAGCTTTTTGGAAACTTTAATTTATGAATGAAAATCTAAAAATAAGAAATGCCACATTGTGAATAGGTGCACTGACATTGTATGTAAAATATATGTATTGGAATTGTAATTTCGGCTTGTACATATTTTTTTATTTTTTGGCTACATACATTTCTTTTCTAAACCTCGAAATCTGTCGAGGTTTTGTGCTCCTTTTATGTATTTCTACTGATTGCGCCACGAAATACGATTTGTAACTATTAATGTAAGCCTATTATTATATTTTGATTACTGAAATATATTTAAAAATCAATGTGTTTTTTATTTCTCAGTTTACATTAATATCTGAACTGACCAAAGGACAAAGAACTAATCAAACAACCCAGTTTTTTATCTGACTTGAGCCTAACTTTACTGTATCAAAATGATGCGTTATATTATGGCGTTTATTTATCAATAGAGTAAGTGTGTTATTGTCGTTTACTCTAACTACGTTGTAAGAACCTTTCAAGAGGTGAGAGAGCTTTTCACAATCTCAAATGGTTTTTTAAATATACATAAACTCCTGTTTTTTATTTAACTGAAAGAATACGAGAGTCAAAACAGAACTTTGAAGATTTCTTGGATTTCCTAATGAATCCTAAAACTTTATCTCACGAGTGTATTAATCTTCCAAACATTTGATCATAAGGAGTATAGTGAGTTGTTGAATGATTAGCAATAGCATAGCTGTATATAAATCAAGGCACCTACTCTTTAAGGGTCGCCTGACTTCTTTCTGGAGCACCATGGGTTTGTGGATGATAAGAAGAAGACCGTAAGTTTTTAATTTGCAAGAACTTACAGGTCTCCTTACTTCAGATGTGAAGTTAGTATCTAGATCGGTTAAAATTATTTTAGGGATACCGAATATTGAGATGTAAGGTTAACACTCGCTTGTCTGTTGTACTACGGATTGGATATGCGGAAGAACATTTGGTATGTTCGTCTTGTATAGTTAAAATATATTTATGTTTTGCAGGTCCCGACTCTGGCAGGGGTCCGAAAATGTCTAATGAAATTCTTTGACAAGGCTCAGTTGAAGTACTTGTGATGTGCATGGGAGAACGATTTACTTTCCTAAGTCTTATTGCACTTTACAAAATTTTCCCTCAAGTAAAACATTTCTTGAATTCGTATAAGGATGTCATGATTGTCTTTTAATATCTCTGGTATTTCCGAGAGGGAAGGAATAAAATTATTTTTTATAACGTATACGAAATAAAACAATGAAAAATAATTTTCATTTTATTTCAATATTAACCAATGACTCTTAAGCAGTACAGTAGGTATATAGCGCAGCGAAGTTCATACAATTTACAGCTTCGAACGTAGTGAAGTTACAGCGTATTTTACAAATTATATCACGAACACAGGTAATATTAAGTATATTTGACAGATTGTGTTTATACTCTACTGCTTCGTTTTAAACTATAACGAGGTTATATACAAAATATTCATGTTACTAATAGATACATAATAGTTACTGACAAAACACAATTCCTAAAACAATAAAGACAAATATAATTTGTCAAAAATATATAAGTACGCGAAAAAGAAAAATTTCTGATATTTCTTTACTTAGATTTTATAACGCTTATATAATATTGATCGGTAAATAAACGATCTTAATTGAATGAAATAACGAGCAAAAACCATAATGCGCTCAAACAAATCAAAACAAACATATTTTAAATAAGCATCATGAAATCGTAAACAACCACAGAGTATAAACACACCACAGACTAGAGGAAATGATTTCCGCACAATTTCTTAACAATTAAACGAGTACAAAAATTACTCTCTTCAATGCAAAATATAATATGTTTTACCGTACAATTATCATAAAGGCATTTATACAAATAATTACGCGTAAAATTATTACATACATTATTCTGAACGATTCGTAAATATTACTTTGGTTACATTTTGACATTGACAGTTTTAAAAGCTCGGGGCGAACAATTAATGTAATGAGAATTTTAAACCAAGTGTTTTTTTTTAAAGATTTATGTAATAAATGAAGAACATTAATGATTAATTTAATAATACTTGTAATTTAGGTTTGGCCTCTTTTTCTTTGTCTTATGGAGCAGTTCTCAATACCTCTACCGTATTCTATAATCATTAATATAATGACATAATTAACCGGAAAACTGAAAATTATTACTGAAATAACTCACCCCGACCTCTCAAAAATAGTGTATTTTTGCAAAGCTCTTCTATAGATTATAAAGCACTAATAAAATATTGATTTGACTAGAAAATAATTTCACTGCCACACTGCATGTGGGTACGTGTTCTAATGTATTCAATTTTCATTTCAAAACAAGGCCACTGCCGACTGAAACGATATAGATTCACTCATTTAATGTAATCTCAAGTAAACAAAATTGTCAAACATGTTTGAAAGTTTTTGTTGAATGATTAATTTGCAAGTACCGTCAAATATAAAACGTCTTCACCTTATTTCGTTTTAATAAACTTTGGATTTCTGAAGCAGTTGCTGGAACTTTTTCGCCCCCTCATAAAACTAAATTAATTTTAATTAACTGTTTAATAATTATAACATCATTGTAACGAAATGAGTGAGATAAGGGATTATGTTAAAACAAAATTAGACTTTTTATGAAGGGGCTAACATTTTAAGGAGGCAACAACCATTTTAACCATAAACATTAGAACACGTATCATATCCAAAACGCATTAAAAATAATTTCATTCAAGCCCAATATATGAGTATTTGTGAGATTCTTTGTGATATGTGGTGATCAGGTTACATATTGCATGATATTAAGAGGCGGGGAAATTTATGACATCTGATAAAGTTAATATTAAAAAAGTGAAATATATATGTATATTAACCTGAGAGACCTTACTGACCAGTGTTTCCCAACGTAGGACCCACGCCCCACAGGGGGGCAATTTTATTATTAAGAGGGCTATTCGAAAGTTCATTAAAATTATTTTGAATTTGAATTTCGGTTATCCAATTTGTCTCGAAAATTTACTTACTGTGTTTTTTGCTAACAATTTCCTAATAATTTCTTCCTAAAACCTATCATTCAAGTTTCTTAATTCAATTCAAATTTTTTTAAATTCAAAATTATGTATTTGGGTCATAAGAATCTTAGAAAGGCTAAGGTGGGGCATGGCACAAATAGGTTGGGAAACACTGTTATAGACAAAAGCTTATTATTGTTATTACTCATTTTTTTTTAATATATAAAAAAATCATTAAATATATATGTTCGAAATCAATTTTTAATCCATCTGTGTGATGTCATAAATTACCTCTTTTAATGACGAAAAACATATGTACACGCGTCCCAGACTTTTGGCTATATAATACATAATGCAGGGGGGGGGTCGTTCACTCTGATACCCAAAATATTTAGGGGTTTTCTTTTGATAACATTTTATGCCCGCTTTCACACGTTGAACTATATAATAACCGTTATTATCCAAAGCCCCTGCACTAATAAAACAAAATTTTCTATCTATCATAACATACGCGCTAATATTTCCAAAAATTAAAAACAACAGTTATATAGAAATAAACCTTACAAGGTTTAGGGCAAGATTGATGCGCTACCACTCCCATATGTCAAAAACTCATTTTGGCGTACGGGAGTCATAAGTCTTGTCTATGAGTCTTAGATATAGTACTCAAATACAACATAATTCAAAATTAATAAGTATCGCCATACACAGTCTATAACTTTAAGAGAACCGTCGGTTCTAGCAATAAATATACTATTTTACTTTTGACAACTCTCAAAACGGCATAAGAAGAAACAACATCTCCATAGATGAAAAATATAATATCCAAAGAGTAAATGAGAAAACATATGAAATTTTGTTTTATATATTTTTGATACTTATAAAATAATTAACATTTTTAGAGTTGCCAATAGTTGTTCCAGATTACACTAAATAGTTGGGATATATTTAAACCGCTATCAGGTAGTGTTGTGATACCGCTATTACTGAATAAATTCAAAACTCTCGTTAAACGTAAATGAATAAAGCTTTCTATAAATTTGACAAATATTTAAATGATCCAAATCCTCGGGATTGATTTGCTCCAGTTCAAACAATTTGTATGACTCAAAACTTAGTGATTAAAAAGAGTGGCAGAGAGTTTCTTGCCAGTTCTTCTCGTACGCTCTACGCCCTTAACTTGCGAACTGGTAGTCAATGTAAATTTAGAATCAATTTAACAATAAATAAGGCTGAGTTTTACCAAAGATCAAACAATTTTTTTTGTATTAAATAAATTAGGTCAACAGAAATCAATTTTACAACAAAACTGTCTCTCCAAATGATTTATCATTAAGTTCTGAAATATTCTGAAAGTTTTTCCAAATATAAACATTTTATTAACCCCAACTATCTAAATTAATCTTCGCAAACTACAAATCATATTAAGTCTAACAGGAAATGTGCGTTTGAATCTAAATATAATATTATTTACACTTTAACATATGCCACGTGCATAGTACTAGAATTGGTATTTCCATAGGCGCGGGGATTTAGTTCTATTTAAAAAAAGTTTACTAAGTTGGAACTTAGACTGTGCCGGTACTCTGTAACTTCCAAACGCGATTCCAATGTCGTGTTATACAACCGCGCGATTTCAAGGCGACGACAGCGCTACGAATATTGACATTGTGTGCAAAAATCGTCAAGTTCGATATCGCTGTTTGGAAGTTACTGAAATTGGAAAAAAAAAATGCAGTAAATTATTTACGAATAAAAATCTTTTTATATACATTAAAAATTCCATCTTCTATATCTAAAATTTTGTATTAACCAAATAAAGAAACTGCTGGGGTTGCCATTGTATTTGAACTAAAACCTAGAAAAAAATCCTAAAATATCGACTAAATCCCCGCGTAAATACTAAGAACTACAGAACTCATTCAAATTTCCCGCCAACTTTTTGGAATAGATAATAGACGTCAGCGAAAACGCTTACACATAGGTATTATACGTAAATTGGACATTGTCTATGTGCAATTTATACATATAGGCAGTAAAGGGATTTTGCAAAAATACAGCGATATATCAGACGCCGCGCTTTCCAATTTTAGTAAGGACACCCGACAATTCTGACAGTTGACGGCCGGGTGTCGAGGAAGTAGTGAAATATGTGCAATATAAATGATGGTATTCTGATTAAATTTATTATTAATATATTAACTTTACTAATAATTGGATGTCATGGCGTCGGGCCTTAGCTAAATAATCAGTACTGGATAGCGTTAGTGAATGGCCGGTTTCAATTTTGTAACATATAAAGCTTGCTACTTACAGCTATTTAGCCTAAAGTCAAACTGTCAGATGTCATTCTGAAGGATGGCAGTCATCAACCTGACAGTGACATTGTCAAAAATGAGCGTACAGTTAGAAGCGTCCGTTTCTTCACAACTGTCGATATGAATCTTCGTGATTAGTTTTAAATTAATTTGGTTAAAAGTTTTATATCGACAGGGTTTTTTTCTTGCCACAAATAGACAATTGACATTTTTATTGTTCAAAATCCTAATCAAAGTAAAGAAACATATATATATATATATATATATATAAATGTAAATCACGAATAAAATTATAAAAACAAACGCGAAATTATTTACATAGACATTTCCTCTTGCTAACGACTATATAATAGTAAAGCCCTGGAAACGTCAAATTTTGTAAATAATCAAAGACGCGTTTATACCATTAAAAATTCATTTAAATGTGTACACTAAACCAACGACAATATTAACCATTAAAATTTTAAAACAAATTAAAAATGCCAATCGCACAAAACAATACGTCGACAAAAACGACGAAAACGGCTGCGCACAAAGTGATGACCTCACGCCAATGACGTGGGTGTCACGTCGCGACGTTCGCGTAGTGAATTGTTGCGGCGTAGCTCGTCTTTTATAGACGAGTCCCGGGATTCGAGACCCCGGCGAGGAGACGAAGTGGACTCCCTACACTCGGATGATGACCTCTTTGTATGTGTACCTGAAGTGCAAAAATAAATCAGTGGCGCTACAACCTTTTTAGGTCTGGCCCTCAGATTTCTGTATTTTTCTGTTTTTTTATAATCATTTGTCAATCTAAAAGCCAAGTATGTGATCAGTTTCCTGTGCCTGACATACGCCGTCGACGTTTTGGATCTATGGCAAGCCGGTTTCCTTCACAGTTTGAGCGAATGTTAAATGCGCACATAGAAAGCAAGTGCATCGGTGCTCAGCTGGGCTTTGAACCTACGGTCTCAGGAATGAGAGTCGTTCGCTGAAGCCACTAAATGTCATATAATATTCTAAACTAATCACTTAAAATAAGTTTATAAGAATTAAATATAATTTTACGAGAAAAGTTCTGCATGCTAACAACGGTTAATAGGTAAATACAAATGATGCTTGAAAATACAGTGTAAACTCTTTATAACGAAATTAAAGAGACCGGACTTTTCTTCCTTATACATACTTTTCGTTATTCAGAGGGAAGAGAAAGAAATAACCAATTACAATAATTTCTAATTTTATTCCATTCAATAGGTAAATTATTCTTAACACATATGTTCTGTTAAATTTGCCTGACGTGTTTTGCTATGACAGGCAATTAATAATGGCACACTTGTTAATGCAATAAACAATAACAAAGGCGTTCTCGCCTTTTATAGACGCAGCCTTCTGGCTGTTAATGACCTCAGGTGTCTTTCTTAGAGTTTTGTAAGCTGATTATAAAAAAAATCACTTAAGAATGTTGTTGATGTCTAAATATGAAAATATTTCTTCGTAATAGAGAGAGGTGGCTGCGTTATAAAGAGTGAATTAATGTATGGGTTTTGTGTTAAGCCAAACAAATTTAACTCATTTTTACGTTATAGAGTTTTACGTTATACCAAATGACGTTGAAAAGAGTTTATACTGTAACATGTAGCTAATAGCATACTAAAGCGAATGTGAAATCACTGTTAAAAATAACAGAGTGCTATATGGGTAAGATTCAGAATCGAAGCGTCTAAAATGTATCGAATTTCGACATACGAAACTGACTAAAAAGTTAAAAATAAGTGCTACAACGCTAAGAGCGTGCAAAGACTCACCGGGCAAGTCTCTTCCGCAACTCATAATCTCGTGGTCAAGCGAAGCTGACGCCGGCTCTACAGCACGCCGACAACGCACGCCCTGCTATTATATTCAAACCATTATTATGCCAAATTAATGCGGTTTGCGAAACGAAAAGAAAGTAAAAGAAGTCGGTCGTGGTGGTTGGACGAGAAATATTTATTTATTAGTAATCTTACAGCTAACTTACATATTATAAAAAAAACACTTAAGTAATATACAAAACTAAAACAATGATAAACAAAATATACGAAACAGAAAACATAACTACATTAATATACAAAAAGAAAACTGAAATTTAACATTAAACAAATGACAATTAATACCTAATATTTCAAAGAAAAAAATAATTTGATATAGATAAACAAAACCTATATAATAATATACACATATATATATTGTTGTAAAAAAATATATATTGTTGTAAGTAAATTTGGAGAACTAAAATTCAAATTTCAAATAATTTTAATATACATATTTACGAATAGCCATTAACAATCAACACCCCTGGCATGGGCCCCACGTTGGGGAACACTGGTTGTGACTATTATTACAAGTACAGAGTGCGTTTCGTGACGTTTCAAGCTCTGATTGGCTAATGACGATGTGTTGTAATGATACGTCATCAGATCAAACACTGTTTCTACCTCACAAGTTTGATATCGTGTTTTAACCATTAAAATCACGAAGTTAGGCCTGAAATAATAAACTACAATTACCTACCGCAATATTCAAGTTGGGTAAGTCATTGATTAACTCCAACTAATAATACTTTTAAAATAACATAGTAAATAAGTGGCGCTACAATCTTTTTAGGTCTTGTCCTTAGATTTATATATTTGTTTTATGATTATGTGTCAATTTAATTGGCAAGTAGGTGATCAGCCACCTGTGCCTGACACAAACCCTCGACTTTTTGGGTCTAAGGCAAGCCGGTTTCCTCACGATGTTTTTCCTTCACCGTCCGAGCTGTAAGGATGTTAAATTCGCACATAGAAAGAGTCCATTTTGGTGCAAGCCGGGGATCGAACCTATGACCTCAGGTATGAGAGTCGCACGCTGAAGCCACTAGTCCAATTATAAATTTCTTTAAAGACCAAAAAACCTCTTTGCCTTAAAGTGTTAATGTGTTTTGTTTAACACGGTTGGGTATTTGCAAAAAATTCACTTTTTGGAAAAGCAATTATTTAAAAATACGCGTGATAGACCTGCCTTTTGCATTTAACATATTTTAAAATACTGAAAACTTCGAAAATAACTAATACATTGTGCAATACCGTATAAGGTATTCGCAATTTGTTATAACAAAACTCGAATAAAATATTGAAAGCTTGTGTTTTCAAGAATAATTTTAATTTAATATTTTTAAGTTATTTCATAGATTTTATCGCAGGCTTTGAGCGCGGCGACCGAATCAAGAGTTCCGTAACAAAAATAAAATCCTAACACAGATGACGTAATATAGGTGCGGCATAGCGTTAGAGCGGGAAGAAGCATACTGCGTATTCACATCTCTCTGCAAGATCGGTGACGTAGGTACCCGGTGCCGGTAGGTTAGAGTGAGGCTGTGTTAGTCTGAGTTTGGTAGACTGGTTGATTGAATTAATATCAAAGAAAAAAAATACTGCATAAATAAAAAATAAATAAATAATTATAATTGCATAAGTTGATAAAAAATGCTATGCAATAGCTTTACCGCGGCAGTCCCCCGAGTGGTTTTTTTTAATTATTTAAAATTAGTCGTATGCAATTTACTAACCTTATATCCACTGGATCCACTCGCGACAGACGAGTTTGAACCTAATGTATGAGTGCCATTCTGAAAATATTTAAGATATATTATTGAGTGTTGCCCGCTGCTCTCAGCGTGCGCCTTGCAACCCTTAGCCAGTGTGCTGTGCATCAACTGTTCTATCTATGTGTGTATTAAAAGCCTTGCTAATTAATTAAATCCTCGCCATATTGCAAAACTATTCAAACTGATTTAATTAAATGGCAATAATCTTTAAGATCGTCATCTGTCAATCTGGGGTGTGGGATTTATTTTTATAGAATAAGCCAAATGGGAGGCAGGACGCTCGTCTGATCTTAAGTAATACCACCGCCCATAAAAATACTCAATGCCAGAGAATGGAATACTTCCAGTCATAAGGTGATGCTGTGATATTTTTAACTTTTCACTGCAATATAACCTAACACACGATGATGATGATGAGATATATTCTGCATTAGCAACAAATAACCTGTAAAAATAAATCTGCGTGCGTACAAAGTACATGTCAGAAGTGAAACTTTGGCAAACTAATTTTTAAGTCTTGTTCATATTTATACAAATCTTAAACTTTAGATCTCCGAGACTTAGAGGGAGGGAAAAAGGAAGATATGTTAGAAATTTAATTAATTTTGTCATTAATTTTTTTAATTTATTTCTTCGATAATAAAAATACGTGTCATTTTAATTTACAATTGGTCAATTGAGATTTCACTAAATTATTTTGCATAAAATATAAAATACTAATATTTCATAAATTTCATAAACGAAATTTTAATTTTAAAAATAGAATTTCTATAAGGTAATTCTCCCTTTTTCTCTCAATCGCTCTCTCCCTTTTCTTCGACAAAAACGCTGCACATCTTCGTGACGTTTTTTAAAAAAATTACCCTCGTGCGCCTAAAGAAGTTTCACTCCAATAATAGGACGCAAGTTTTAAGCACAATTTTTCCTCACCTGATCGAACCTCTCAATGGAAGTCTGACTGCCGGGCGTGTGAGAGTCGAACACTGAACAATCGCTGTCTTCTTGATTTTGCGGAGTCTCTGGACTGTCCGGGATTTCGTTCGCATCTAAAATTTCAATAATTACAAAGTAGAATATTTAATAAAAACTAAAGAATGGGAAAGGTATTGGAAAAAAGGCGTGGACCAATCAGAGTGCGTTTCGTGACGTTTCAAGCTCTGATTGGCTAATGACGATGTGTTGTAATGATACGTCATCAGATCAAACACTGTTTCTACCTCACAAGTTTGATATCGTGTTTTAACCATTAAAATCACGAAGTTAGGCCTGAAATAATAAACTACAATTACCTACCGCAATATTCAAGTTGGGTAAGTCATTGATTAACTCCAACTAATAATACTTTTAAAATAACATAGTAAATAAGTGGCGCTACAATCTTTTTAGGTCTTGTCCTTAGATTTATATATCTGTTTTGTGATTATGTGTCAATTTAATTGGCAAGTAAGTGATCAGCCACCTGTGCCTGACACAAACCCTCGACTTTTTGGGTCAAAGGCAAGCCGGTTTCCTCACGATGTTTTCCTTCACCGTCCGAGCGAATGTTAAATTCGCACATAGAAAGAAAGTCCATTGGTGCACAGCCGGGGATCGAACCTATGACCTCAGGTATGAGAGTCGCACGCTGAAGCCACTAGTCCAACCTTGCTCTTACTCTTAGTCATAAATTAAATGTCATGCCCAGTCATATATTATAATTTTTACAAAAGTCTATAAAGGAGGTTGACACCGTGAAGTTTTTATTCACCAGCATTATACGTAGTAGAAGACGCAGTAGTTACTTACTGAGCGGCTGAATATTCCGCCTCGAAGCCCTAGGCGAGGGCGGATGAAGGGCCGGAGCCCTGGAGGCCCCAGGGGCCCGGCAAACCGCCGCCTGGACCACTTCGCACACTCGCCGGAAGCGGCGGATGTTACCTGAAACCATGCTCATGAGCATCTCGTGCATCTTATGCCAATGGGCCATGAGGCATTTTGTTAAGCGACTTTAAAAAAATGCACATATGATGAATTGTGAAAGTGTATTTTTGTTCACAAATTTTTGTCAAACTCATCCTTTTTGATTTAAATCAGATATTATTAAAGAAAGTCAGTTGTTCCAAAATCAGTTCAGTAGTTTTTCAAAGGTGAGTTTAAATATCCGTTTTGAAGTAGTAATGATATTATAAGATTGTTTTTGACAAGTACTTCTAAAAATCAAACATACTTGTTTCGAAAAATAAATCTCTGGGCTTTCAGAGAAACATTGTTATATTATAAAAAAGTTATTTATTTAAATAAATATATTAAATCATTTAGAGAACCGGGCAAACGGTTAGGAGGTCATCTGATGTTAAGTGGACACTCAAAGCTAGAGGGCTGGCGAGTGCGTTGCCGGCCTTTTAAGAATTGGTAGTAAAGACATTAAATTAAAGTTGATAAAACATCTTATTTAACAACAACATATTTATCGAATCTTATAGTACAATTGTATTTTTTAAATATATTATAAAAACTGAGCCTTAAAATATACAGACATACTCACCAGAGAGTAGTGTGAAAGTGATGGCATATAAATATTCTTTCCCGTTCTCACCCGGCGCTTTCGTTATTGTTGAAATATCCACCTGAAATATTTTGTTTAAATGGCGGTAGTCATATATCAGTCGTGAGGGTAGTTAGTATTTTTGTATTAAAATAACTGTCCTAAATAATCGGTTAAAAAATATTTTTACATTAAAATTACTTGCTTAAATTTTAACGTATAATTATTTAAAAATACTTTTTTGCAACAACCCCTTTGCCATACCCGTAGTCTAAAAAAATAGTTAATCTAAATGTTTAAAAAGAGGGTATGTTCGAACACATTTAATGCGCAAACGGCTAGAGCGATTGTCATGGTTTTGTTGGAAAATTGAAAACATTGGAAAATTGACGAACAAAAAAAATTAAAATCCCCATAACAAAATGTAAATTTAAAGTTCATCCCTTCGATACAATTCTCTCTTCAAAAGTAAAAATGTAGAATAATGTCGGGAATGAAAAAGGATTGACTTTTATATAAAGCTATTTCTTTTTATTTGCTATAGTTACGATATAAATTCCACGTTAAAAGTTACACTCACCTGGAATCTCACATGTCTCTGGAACATGGCGGGTGCGTTGGAACCCCGTTTGTATTCCACGCGGAATGACATCGGGCTTAGCACACTATGTGATAATTCCGCTATCTGTAATAAAAAAACTACTTTTGAAGAGCTATTATAATGCAAAAGTCGGAAGTTCTTGAGTAATATTTAGAATTGACATTACGTTTGACTTCTGTATGTCAAAGTTGGGTTTGACAGGAATGTCTTAGGAAATAGTTGTCACTTTTTGAAGTAAAACTTCTTTGGGCACGCATGAGGGCAAATTTTTTACGGATACGTCACGAAGATGTGCAGCGTTTTTGTCGAAGAAAGGAGGGAGGGAGCGATAAAGACCGATTGAGAGACTAAGAAGGGCGATTTTATTTTTAAAATTAAAGTTTCGTAAAGAGAATTTATGAAATATTAGTACATATTTTATACTTAATGCAAAATAATTTATTGAAATCTCAAATGACGAATTGTAAATTAAAATGCCATGTGTTTTTACTATAGAAGAAATAAATTAAATTTATATTTTTTTTTATATTATTTTAATGACAATTAAATTCATTAAATTCCTAACATATCTTCTTTTTTCTCTCCAAGTCTCGGAAATCTAATGTTTTAGATTTGTACAAATATGAACAAGACTTAAAAATTAGTTTGCCAAAGAAGTTTCACTTCTGACATGTGTACTTTTTACGCACGCACTTTTATTTATTTATTGTCAAAAACAAATTATACCCAGTCTTTAGACTTCTTTAACTAATAGGCTCATATTTAGTTTAAGTAAATAATAAGATATATTCATAAACATACCAATCTCTTTTATGCTGAATACATAAAATATAAGGTATCAAAAATATCCTTAAAAAGAAAAAAATTGTCGGGGGGGGAAGGGGAAAAAAAAAGGAAAGAGAAAAACCTTTATGATGGGGGGGGGGGGGGGCTTATTTTTCGAAAAATGGGCCTCCTATATGCAACTTTACAGAGATCTAGTTTACAGAAATTCGTTAAATTTAACAAAGGAGGCTTTTATTATCATAGACATGAATACAAATATTTCATTTTACCTTATTACTACAGGAAGATTATTATAGAATTTCATTAATTGTAATAGAATTATTACTATCATTGAAAAACGTGACGATTTGCTACAATATTTCTCCCATACGTCGATAAAGAGAATTTTTTTCTAACGCCGATAAAGAAGTTTGACTTCAAAACAGCAACATGGCGCGTAACCGAAAAATGTGACGCGTAACGAAAAATGTTACATAAAATCAAAACCATTTAAAAAGGCATAACAACTCATACATACACTCAAAAAAGCGTGTATTAGATCAGCCTTGACGGTAGCGAGTGGTTTCCCCTTAACCAGAGCAGTGAACGTCTCTTCTTTATCCGCCGATAGTAGAAGAGATCCGAACCAGGAACGCTTGGTCAGCTCCGGAGAGCTCTCCGGTGTGAGGTGGACTTCTTCTGAAGACGCTGGAAGCAAAAAATCTTCATGGTAAGGTGGATCATTTAAATAATTTTCGTTCGTTTAGTTTTAGACAGCGAAAGTATTTCGATATGAGTTTGTTCCAAAACGCCTACGTTAGCCAAATTTTCATTGCTTAGTGGATAGCATCAAAATACTTAAAAAATTATAAATACAGACCTGTATATTTGAGATAATAATCAAAACCTAATATCTTTTATAAAGAGTAAAAAAAATCTCTAATACAATAATAAAATTATTTATAGAAATTATTTTTTTCTTATACATGTCAAAGGCAGTCTAAAAGTTTTTTTATTTTTTAATAACCGACTACAAAAAAACTGGTGTTCAATTCAATGTGATTTTCTTCTTAAATATCTGTTTTCCTCTACTCACTCTGCATTTTCCTCCTATGAAACCGAGGTGATCCAAGGAAGGAGTTCTTGATTGTGGCTAATCTCGCTCGCCAAGGAGCCGCCGCGCCCGATGAAGATGCCCCACCTGGAACTGTTGGGGCAAGGGGCATAAGAGCAAATATGGTAGTTTCTATGCCCAAACAAGTTTGGTAAGATTAATATCAGAATAAGCCGGCTTCATTAGACCTTCTGTGGGTATACAGATCTGTATAAAAATGGTAATTTAAAAAAATACCAAAATATTTTTGATTAAGTACCTGCTATAGTGCCTAAATTTGGGAATAGCGTTTGCGCAGGCGACTGTGTCGTAGGCCCGGGGAGGGAAGACCTCTCACGTACTGGAAAAATAAAAGTTTTAAATATTTTTACAATTAAACAATTACAATTATTGAAAAACATCTATTTATTTTGTCTTAAAAAATTAGAAAGAAAAATCATCAAAATTTTCTACCACAGTTAATAGAGTTTTTTAGGTTACAAAAAATGTGTTTGTTTATTTTTAAATTATTTCCTGATACACTAATTGTCTAATCTAATATCTAAATAGATATATATCTTGCCATCTTTCTCTAACGCGAGCTATTTGGATCCATATACATGGCCAATAAATATGTAGTATCTATTCATTTTTTTTATACATAACTAGTGGACCCCACAGACGTTGTCCTGCATGATATTTAAAGCGATTAGGATATTAAGCAAAGTATGAAAGTACCGACTGCAGTGCCATCTGCCGGGCTGTTTTGTGAATCTAAACCATCCACGGCTCCACCCAAACGTATACAAAAAAAATCATTCAAATCGGTCCAGCCGTTTAAGAGGAGTTCAGTGACATACACACTCACAGAAGAATTATATATATAAAGATTTTATCTAAAATATTTATGTTAAGAATCAGTCTAGCTATTCAAAGGGGAAACGCTGCCAGTATCTTCAGAAACCTTGCCTTAAGGGACTCCTTTTAATAATATATTTTAGTAATTGTTTTTTGTTATATTAATTTATGATAGCTGTAGGATTACGTAATAAAACAATATTATCTTATGTTTATATCAAATATGTTATCAATATCTAAACTAATGTTTTTCTGATGGTTTTACCGTTTATTCCGTCTTTTCCATATTATCTATATATTGGTAAACACACTTTTCATATTATCAGATTTTTACCTAAATTAACAAAAGAAAATACATATATCTGAAGTAAATATTTGTATTGTATTATCTCTCACCTCTATGCGAATGCGAAGGACTATGAGGTCGAACGGCCACTGAGGACCCGACCATTGGGGATTCGTTTATTATTATCACCGCTTCGCCTGGTTCGCCACCTAAAAGTAAACGAATCATTGCAGGCGCCATCTAACGAGGTCAATTTCAATCTGACATCTTTAAAAAAAATTACTATTTATTTATTAAAGTTCAAGAGAATATAAGTGCGTTCTCCTATTTCACCATGCCTGCCGCTGATAGAGAGCAAATTATTATATTTAATTTATTATTATTTATTACTTAAGATGTCACGTGGAACATGGTGTAATGGTTGCAGCTCCTTACAAACATTGTGTAAAATAAAAAACTTGGCGATTAAAAAGAGTGGCGGAGAGTTTATTGGCAGTTCTTCTCTTCCGTTCTACACCCTTGATTTGAGAACTGGCAGTAAATGTAAAATTAGAAGCACTATGTATTTCTTTTTTTGACGGTACATTATGTTAGCTATATGAATAAATGATTTAATTTGATTGCTATACCTACAGTATATGTTACAAGCTGTTTTTTCTAAAATACTAGCAAACAGCGGATTAGGTATCAGATAGGAACTTAACCAGTGGCGTAACAATAGGGTGGCAGGGCTGGCAAAATGCCACGGGCACCCGACCCAAGAGGGCACCTGCCCAAGAGATATTATGTTCTATGGATGAATGTGAAGTCTCCAATACGCATTGGGCTAGCGTGGGGACTACAGACCATTCCCTCTCGCCTAAAAGAGGAGGCCTATGGCCATTACTGGGACATATACAACGTGTAATTGAGTACGCTGAAAATCTCAGTTTATTAAAATTAAACTGAGTACAACGTGACGATTTTTACTGATAGGGCCCCATTGAAACAATTTGACACGGGCCCCAGATGGTATAGTTACGCCACTGCACTTAACAATGCTGTTTAAAATTGATCATCCCACTACCGAATATGTCAAGTTCTGGATAAGTAGTGTTTATTCTATTATCGCGAAGAATTTGAATGAGAGATCTGTCATCAAAATAAGATTTTTTATGAATAATAATAAAGAACAAAGATAATTATTATTAATAATCGTATAGTAGTCTAGTTATATATTAAAAATAAAATATCCTTATATCACATGTGTGGTGTGATTTCAATTTAACAGTTTTTTTTCGATATTTGTAATTACTTAAAAAAAGCGTTTATAATACATTAAAACGGGAGTAATTTTCGCAAAGACATATAAAACATTTTTGATAAGCAATTTTCACAATTAACTTAAAGCAGAACCGGAGATCGAACTCACGACCTTAAACAATCTCATGATTACCGAAGATGCTGCTAATGTTGTTTCAAAAGAAGTTCGATTCCCATAAATTATTTGGCCAAAATACTTACTAATATTTAAGCTAATGGTAGGTCCAGTAGAATTCGCTCTTTGATGATGATGTTCACGAACTGATGGTGATGCTGCAATTTATAAATGTAATATACCTTATTCACATCAAAGGATCATCTAGATAGGACACCCCACATACACACCATCACACAACACAGCCGAATTATATATTACTTAGTTAAATATATTTAATATTTTTTTTACTTTTCTATCTTTAGTATGTTTTTTGTTATAATATATAATTTATGTTAGCTGTATTATGTAATAGATAAATTTCACTTAGTTATCGAAATATTTGAGAATAAACATAAATACAAAAATATAATTCAATTTTAGTTACATTTCAGTATTATATCTTCTTTGAAAGTAAGTTTGTTTACCTAAAGGTGAACCAGGAGTAGCCGGGGTTCCTCCGAGGGAAGAGACCCGGTGCGGAGTGTGACCAGCTATAAAAACATATTCCGTTATCAATTTAATTTTAATTAATTGAATGTACCTTGGTTTTTTAATTTATAATCCAATTTTTTTAAAGCTACAGTATTTTTGCGTTTATATTTTGTTTTGTCAAATTCTTTGATCTTTAATTAAATGTTTTCAATGCCGGCACGACCTTTTACGTCTGGGGCCCCAGATTTCTTTATCAATTTACTTAATTATATGTTTTTCTAATAGGCAAGTAGGTGGCATTCACTTTTTGGGTCCATTTCCTCGCGATGTTTTCTTTCATACATATAATATAACAAAAAAGGCAATTGGTTTTGCCGTGTTTCGAACCTACGACCTCAGGTTTGTTATTCTAAAAATGGTATTTGCTGATAAAATATTACGTGATAATAAATCTCACCAGGAGGACTCGCTGACAGCTGGGGAGAACTTCTGCCTTCACCGCGTCTACTGGAAGACCTAATATTGAAAAATAAAATAATTATTTACAAATAAAAGATAACATTTTAAAATATATTCAGCATATTTACATATTGTTAAATACATTTAAAAAAAAATATCAGTGGCGCTACCACCTTTTCAGTTCTGGGCCTTAGATTTCTAATTTGTTTATTCTAATCTGTTTTATGATAATTTGTCAATCGAATATTCAAGTAGGTCAGACTCCTGTGCCTGACACACGCTGTCAACTTTTTGGGTCTAAGGCAAGGCAATTTCCTCACCAATTTATCTTTGAACATTTATTTTGTAATTAATTAATTTGCATGTAGCACAAATTTCCTGAATGATATATTTTTTTTCTTAGGTATTACCTGAATTGAGATCGCCTTGGGGTAATAGGAGATCCTTCACTTATTTGACCAAAATGTGCTGATTGGCCATTCACCTGAAATAAATTTAATACTTTTTCATTTCTTGTACAAACATAACCTATGATATATAATCTGACATTACTTCTTATAAAATAGTCGCAAATTAGATTGGGCAATCTAATTTATGAACAACAGACAAATAATTCATATGTGTCATAGTCTTAACATAATTGTCAACGAAAAACTATTAATTTTTATAAAAATATAAATGATGTTCCCAACAAATAACTTATACACATGAAAAATATTGGATAATTTTATGCATTTTTTATTGGATATGGGGGCAAATGAGCCTACAGAAGTTAAAAAAGGACAGTCATCGCAGACCATGCACACCCATTTTAATGGGTGCGATGCCGGCCTTTAAGAGAGGATTAAACTCTTTCTTGGAGGTCGTATTTCCCAGGGAAGACCCCAACCGGAAGTCGATTCCACAGTTCGCTAGTTCGCAAAAGGGTCTTGGGAAACGGACCATGGAAGACTTCCAGACGCGAGACAGCCTAAATGAGCATACCCAGGTACCGATTCTCCAGCACCAGCATTGCGGGTGCGGATTGTGTTTTATGTAATTACTGACACTTTTCTTTTTCTAATACAGATTTTTCTTTAACGACAACTCTTTACAACGTCGAAATTTGCAGTCCCTTGAGTGTCGTTATATAGACTGTAACTCACCCGACAGGTATCAAGTCGTTTCCGTGGTGGATCAGTGGGCGCAGCTAAAGCAGGTGGCCTTGGCTCATCATCTCTAGCAGGCCGACGCCTTTTACGCTCCAGCAGAAGGAAGTATATCACTTTCTCTGTATTGTGGCTAGAATATTACATAAAAAATATATGTGTTGTGAAACAACAGGTTTTTATTTTAAACTAGCGAACCCGACAGACGTTGTCCTGCATGATATAATCAAGGGAACACTATATTTAAAAAAAAAATTGTAAGTACCGACTGCAGCGCCATCTGCCGGGCTGATTTGTGAATCGGAACCATCCAGGGCGTCAAACAAAAAAAATCATTCAAATTGGTCCAGCCGTTTAACAGGAGTTCAGTGACATACATACAGACATAGTAATTATATATATACAAAGATAATGTAAAAGTACTAAATACTTATTTCATACAATGTCAAAATGAAGAAATTGTTCCCTATACCATACATATAATTGCTAATGTACTTGCTTGCAATACTTTTTGCAAATTACATATAACTATTACGTTTTCTTACATCTGACAGCATTATCACTATGTTAAGACTCCTCGATACCAGGTCTAAAATTAGTTTATATGTTAAATCTAGGAAAGAAATTATTAACATACTGTGCACTTAATAAATCCTGTATCAGCTTTTCTCTATGTTTAAAGCACCCCAGACTACATATAGCCTGTAGTACATCAGGATCTATTGCATCGGCTGATGGTAAGACTCTTGTCTGAACCACCTCCATCATTGGCAACTCTTGTTCTAACTCTCCACGGCCTCCTGCTGTCACCCATGGATGTCTTGTTATTTCTGCTAACTGGAAAAATAATACTCATAATCACCAATTGTACACTAACATAAACATTTTGTCAAAAACAATATGAAAGCTCTATATAATTCCATATAAAATCCAAACAGATATAACACAGGAAATTAATAGTAATAAAATAAAATTCTAGTTGTAATACTAAAAATTTGTATTAATAATTAACAATGTAGAAGGTAGATAACAAACTTGTTGTACATGACCATGGTATGGTCTGTCTTTTATCTGTTCAAATAGTTAAGAGCCTATAGAAATCTACTCTAAGTCAGATGGAACTAAGTTTATATTATTATTATTATGTATCATACATACTGTCATTCTTTTTTCAGGATTGACTTCAATCATTCCTCGTAATAACTGCTGGCAATCAGGAGGCACAAAATGTGGCACATGAAACACTCCACGCTTCACCTGTAATTATTATTGATTTGAATTTGATTTAAACATCACTTCGATTTGTAAAGACACATACAACATGAATAGTTGAGAGCAACATTAAGAAGGAAAAGCTTCCCAAATTAATAAACTTATTTACTTAAAAAATTACTCAATAAATCTTATATTCTAGAGTTGGTAGAAGATAGCTTGGAAAACTTACTTTTTCAAGAAGTTGTCTCAAGTTATCGTCGTCAAACGGTAATGCCCCAACTAGTAGCGCATATAATATAACACCACAAGACCAAACATCAGCCCGTCTGCCATCATATTTTTCTCCCTGTAACGTATTTTCATATTTAATTTCAAGGATTCCCCAAAATATTATACCAAAAACTTTGAAATTCCCGCTAAAGTCAAATCAAATAGTCCGGTAACGAGAAATCCACAGAGCAAGATACAAATCCAAAGGAAAAATCCATCAATCGTTGCTTGACAATGACATCCAATGAGTAATTTAAAGGCAATTTTTTTAGTTTATTTCTTAACTATCACAGCGATTTTATAATTATGACTCTCTATCTATGTCGCGTCCACATTTTTTTGCAATTTGTTTTTCATTTATATACTTACAACATAGGCGCAGCACAACAATTAATTATAAGAAATAATATTCCAGTAGATTGTATTGTACCAATATCCATAGATATTGCATACAATATGAGCGAAAGTTGTCTATTTTAATTTTTAGTCTACGATGTTTCGATTTTTTCACAGTGGTCTTTTAACATTTTATGGCTTAGTCAACTGTCACAACTATTAACCGACTTAATGGAAATACTCGTGCACTGTCAAGATATAGACAGAGACAAGTAGAAGAAATGGATTTGGAATACCCAATGTTAAAAAGAGAAACACATAACTTCGATGAAATTGTTGTTAGTCTCTTTAATTAATTCATGTTTTTTACGAAATCATACCACCGTTGACCGTTGCTTTGAGTTTTCTAAACGTTTTCAACGGTTGAAAATAAGTTTACGAAAGTGAAAAAGAGTTTCATTAAAAATGAAGTCCGCTAAGTCAAGAACGCGACTAAATGATATGCGAACGCCAAGTAGAAGTAAACAAAATTTATACCAGGGAGATCGAGACCCGGTACATGTTTATTGTCGCTTACGCCCGATGCAGAATGATAATGATAATTCCTGTATTAATATACTTTCCCCAACAACAGTCCTTATGGTGCCACCCCCTACAGCGTTAGCCTACCGAAATGAAAATAGTAAAACGATGAAATACACTTTCAAAGAAGTATTCCCGCCCAATTCTAATCAACAAGAAATCTTCGATAAAGTAGCATACCCTTTAGTGGATGGCTTAATCAAAGGTAAGAATGGACTTTTATTTACTTACGGAGTCACTGGGAGCGGTAAAACTTTCACCATGACGGGTGATACTCAAAACTGTGGGATACTTCCGAGATGTTTGAATGTTATTTTTAAAACAATAAATGATTTGCAAGCACATAAATATATATTCAAGCCAGATAGAATGAATATGTTTGATGTTCAGACAGAAGCTGAAGCTATGCTGGAACGGCAGAAAGAATTACACAAGTTTCGCAGTGGTCGAAAAAATAATTCTAATCCAGATTTAGTTATGTCTAATACAGATATAAGTAAGGTAGACGGTGTTATTGAAGACAATCAGTATGCTGTTTTCGTCACTTACATTGAGATATACAACAACAGTGTTTTTGATTTACTCGAAGAGGGCCCACCTAGCAAAAGTCTCTCTACAAAAATGATTAGAGAAGATGCATCTCATAAAATGTATGTTCATAATGTTACAGAAGTAGAGATTAAGTCGGCAGAAGAAGCATTTGAAACTTTTTATTTAGGCTTAAAAAGAAAACGTATGGCTCACACCAATCTAAATGCCGAATCTAGTCGAAGCCATTCAGTTTTTACTATACGCCTGGTGCAGGCACCAGTTGATGAGGTTGGAGAAGCTGTGATACAAAAAAAAGAATTTATTACAATAAGTCAACTGAGTCTTGTTGATCTTGCTGGCAGTGAACGGACAAACAGAACACAAAATACTGGAGACAGGCTGCGAGAAGCCAGTAACATTAATAAATCTCTTATGACTCTAAGAACATGCTTAGAAATGTTAAGAGAAAATCAACTTAATTCTGCAAAAAATAAGGTACCTTACCGTGAGTCAAGGATTACTCACTTATTTAAGAACTTCTTTGAGGGAGAAGGTCAGGTTAGAATGATAGTATGTGCAAATCCTAGAGCGGAAGATTATGATGAAACACTTCAAGTAATGCGATTTGCTGAAATGGCTGCAGAAGTAGAAGTAGCAAAGCCTCAAATAACAGATATAGCAGCTTCTATTGGTTTGATGTCTGGTCGTAGAAAAGCTAATAGATTATTTAACATGGCTCGTGATAAATTAGAAAAAGCTGAAGCTAAAGATCTTGAGTTGGACTTGGGTCTTGTTTATAGTCTTGGCCCAGACTTCCCTAGTCTTGAGTTGAATAGCTCCCAGGCAGCTCATATTACTAAAGAATTAATGGCGCACTTGGAAATGCGTATTAATCGTCGAGAAACTCTACGAAGAACTTTAGCTCTCAAAGACGAAAAATTCCGTTCAGCCCTACTTGAACTTCAAAAAGAGGTCCTAGAACTGAGAAGTGAAAACGCATCTTTAAATGCTCAGTTATCTACAGAGAAACGTCGCAATCATGCTTTTGAAGAACGCCTTACAAGGTCAGAAAATGAGGTCATAAATTATCAAAAAAAACTAACAGAAATGACTGAGTACTCATCATCCTTAAAACGTGAGATGCAAGAAAAGGATCTTTTATTAAACCAAAATAAGCTAGACAAGGCAAAGCAAAAGAAGCTCTTGGAACGAAAATATCAGCACAAAATGGCTGCAGAACATGAAAAAGCTAAGGAAATTATATCAGAAAAAGAACGGTTGGAAAATGCCAATGAAGAAAAGGAAAATAGGCTTCGAATAATTGAAAATGCTTTAAAAGGTGAAAAGCATTTAGATACTGGGGCACAAACAAGTGTGAGGGACTTTACTCCTGGTTCTACACCTCGGGCCCTTCCCGCCCATTTACTCTCACCATTCATTGCACAATCAAAAGATTCTCAAACATCACGCTCCAGACGTGGTGTGGCCATCGCGAATCCGCGCCACCGCAGGTCTTTATCAGCAGATGGCAAAGGATGGGTAGAACATGCCCCAAACAAACTTGTTCCCATGGGCACAGTAATGAAACCAAGCATTGGGAACAGTAAGCTTGTAAATAAACTAACTAATGTTAAAGACATTGCTAACACAAAGACATCTAAATACTGCTTGATATCTCAAGAGCAAGATACAGACGGTGAATTAGAAACAAAATTGTATAAAGGAGATATTGTACCTACATGTGGTGGCGGGGCGCAGGTGATATTTAATGATGTTGAGATGCTTAAGCAGTTTTCACCAACTAATGAAAGAGAGCCGTCTTCAAACAGAACTTCTGGATGTGCAAGACATTCAGGTAAAAGAAGAGACACTGGTTGTTCACCACCACCAACACCATCAACAGTGAAGAAACAGAGGGTAGATGATGATTAAGTTTTTTTTGAACTTGTGAAATATTCTTAAATAATTTTTTTTACAATTTATGTTTTTAAAATAACTGTAGATCTGAGTTTTTTAGTAATAATGAGAATATTTCAGAAGTTGTGTGTGTTTTTTATGTTTAGTTATGAACTAACACTTTTTTTTTACTGTGTGAATTTTTTGTAAAGCACTTAATATTGTTTGCTCATTAAGACATCAGTTCCTTACACATTTGTTTTTAGTACAAATTATGTGATAAATTAATCTTTATATCACCAAGAGTTATGGTTTCAACCTAATTTTTGGTATTTTTGGTACATAATATTTATGAACTTGTTTCCATTTCTTTTGATAATATAATCATATAGCTAGGTTCTTGTAACACGGTTTTGGTGGGTTTGGGGTACTAAAAATTTAATTGGTAAAATTCCTGACTTGATTCAAAATTACAGGACATAAGTATTGCTGCCTATTAATAACACCATGGGGCAAGTACAATCCACCATGCAGGCCCAGTTTGGATTGGTGGAAAAATATTGCTCTTGTATTTTTAAACATATGTTAGGTTTTCTAGACAAAATAAGCATCATTTTCAGGAAATCAAAACATCCCCAAAAATGGAACACAATAAATATAAAAATAGGACCAGTCTATTTCACAATCAGAATATAAAAATAATATTCCCGTCTGATTGATTGATTTTATTTTTTTAAATGTTCTCAAACTTTTATTTTTATTTAATGTTTTCAACTGAATTATGAACCCTGTCATAACGTTAGATATATAAGTATCCATTGAAGGATATTTGTTTTGTTTATTCAAAACATACAATAGCTATTTGAAGGCTTACTAAATTCCCCATTACATAAAAGGAGCTTTTTCCCACAATGCAATAAGCCAAATTATGTATAACGATCTTTGAATGGAGGATATAAATTTTGCTAAACCATCTCTTTTATGTAAGTATTGGTCCTTTTTATATTAAACTCTAATAGTTTCACAAATATGCACCATATTTTGAACTTAATTTTTTTAGAAAATTGTAATGTAGTACTTAATTAGGTTTAATTTTGGTAAGGTATATAATAATATATTTTAGATTTATTCATTTTATATATATATGACTCAATAAACATAACATAACATGCCAGCATACTATTAATATGTTAAAAATATCGCCTTAAAAATGTTTGCCTTATGTATGTCATCTACCATCGCCCCAAACTTATTTAAGTTTGGCTTAACTTTTTAGTGTGAAACTCGCTTTTCATGGTTTAATAAACACTTATAATTAATTATTAGACTAAATACAAAACCGTTGAGTTCTTTAGAATGCACATTTAGTTAATTGTAATTGCGAAATTTTTTTTTTTTATAATCTTTATTTTAACTAGTTTGCCAATTAAAAATTATGTAAAGCATCTACGGGATAGATTTTTCCCATTTTTGATTCATTTAAAAACATTGTATTTGTTTCATTAAGATTTCTTGATTTTATTTTAGAACTATTGTCAAAATATGTAGAACGCTGCATTTTCCCTTAAATATATGTATATAATGTAACATGGTGTTTTATTTAATCTCTCCTGAAAACGAAAACTTGACCTGCTCAAAACACATTGCAAAAAAATTTGGTAAACTTTTGACTAATTTGATCGCAAAGTAAATATTTTTGCATATTATATTGCAAATAATGCTTATCGTAATACAAATGGCATGTCGCTACTTCGTACGGCTGATTTTTAGTAATATTTAGGAAATAAATTTTAATATAGCCTAGGCTAGTTAATTCGATCCTGTAGTTTTTGAGTTTATTCGTTACAAACTTAATAATTATTTACTATAATCATGTCCCGAAGCTCGATTTGAACCCGAAGTGAAATAAGACTTAAGGCCGATTCACACATATCAGTGAAGCCACAGTTCCGACACTGTACCGGCACAGTGCGAAATATTCTTTCATACATTTTCTATGAACGTCAGTGCCGACACCGACAATCACGGACGTATTCGTTGACAAAATATGACAACGATATTTTTTGTCGGATCACTGACGCTGCGTTTTATTTGTTACATTTTGTTTATTGTAGAAGAATATTAAAGCAGCTCTCTGACATTTGAAAATATTTTCTTTCATCTTTAACTAATTCTTTGTATAATGTGATGAATTTTCCTTCCGTCTCTCTAAATTGCCATGCTTCATGCACCCATTTTCTTTTTTTCCATGATGCTGCGCTATCATGCTAGCTCCGTAGTATTGAACAGAGCCATAATCACGTTACTTGACGACGAACACGTTTTCACTGAAGTTCCGTACTGACATGTGGGAATTGAATGACTGACGCAATACTGTATTACTGATTCTGAACTGAGCGGACACGTTGACGGAACTGTGGATTCACTGATATGTGTGAAGCGGCCTTTAACGTACAACTTCCGTTTTATAGCAGATCCTATTTATATTTTTGAAGTGAAACTTCTTTATCGAGGTTGGAAAAAAAATTTAGTGTAACATTTTTTCGTTACGCGTCACATTTTTCGGTTACGCGCCATGTTGCTTTTTGAAGTCAAACTTCTTTATCGGCGTTGGAATGAAACTTCTTTATCGACGTATGGGAGAAATTTTGTAGCAAATCGTCACGTTTTTCAATGATAGTAATAATTCTATTACAATTAATGAAATTCTATAATAATCTTCGTAGTAATAAGGTAAAATGAAATATTTGTATTCATGTCTATGATAATAAAAGCCTTTTGTTAAACTTTATCTAATTTAACGAATTTCTGTAAAGTTGCATATAGTAGATCATTTTTCGAAAAATAAGATCATAAAGAAGTTTCACTTCTTACGTGTGTACACCTAGTACACGCACAATTTATTTTTATAAGACACCCATCGATGAATTGGGCGTATGACATACTTTTTCTCATGTGGTTTGTGGTGAGAAACATGAAGAAAAGCAGGAGCTTAAAATTGACAACCCCAGCTTAGCCACTAACTTGTCTAGATACGCTTAATTAGCGTAGGTACACCATTACATACCCTTATAACTTCAGGGCAAGCATAATGCGGGCTTCCACATGACGTCTCCAATAGAGAACCAGCAGGCTGAAGCGACGCCATCCCGAAGTCAGCAATTTTAATGTTATTCCGCTCGTCCAACAGCAGATTTTCTGGTTTCAAATCTCGGTGGCTAAAAATAATTTAAAAAAAAATAAACAAGATATTAACTTGTGGAAATTGGTTTAGTATTTCTTGCGTAGTTAGTTCCAAGTTCGATTCTCGCTAGGTAAATAAAGGATTTGGAAGGTACAGTCCGGTCACCTACTTCCTAGATTATCTAGTGTGCACCACGACGGTTCATACCCCATTGGTATTTCATTATTTTTTGGACATGGCACCAACCGTGGCATGAATGTTTTTTTTATTTCACATGGTTCTCAAATGAAAGGTTGATAGCTCCTTCTGCAAGCTTACGTAAATTCAATAGCGATCTCAATTTTAATTTAACTACTTGCATAATTCTAACTTTAATTCTGAAAGAACTTCCTTAAAATTGGGTGTTTGGCAATGAAACCCCTGAAAGAACCCTTTCTCTAGGAAGTGCCAATTACTCATTATTGCATAATCGTTGACATCTCAATTAAAATGACGCGGTAAAATGGCTGGTGCTACGTAATTGTTAAACTATATTGAAATACTTACCATATAGAATGGCTGTGACAGAAATCCAAAGCAGATATTATTTGTCGGAAAAATCTTCGCGCTTCTTTTGGGGTTAGCCTACCCTTCTTCACTAAATAATCAAACAATTCACCCCCACTAACGTGTTCTAGAACTAAATACCTGTAATTAAAAAATAAAATAGCACTGTATAATCTTTTTGTGGAATACTTTCGTTCTATCACCGAAGATGAAGAAGATGATGTTGGTTATAGGTAATATATTATCTATACATAATTTGTCTTTGGTATTCGTCCAGCGGCTAGTCTTAGTCGTCTTAATCGTCTCTCTTAATACAAAGTTCGTGCCTCCGTAACCTGGAGGCATATTTGAAAGTAAAAAATCTAGTCTACGAAGAAAAAATACTAATAAAAGAGATGTTGAAATCTTACACTAAGACCCAGTTGACTTATAGCGCGATTAGATAATGAATTAAATAAATAAAAACTAAAAATTCTTAAAAGGCCGGCGACGCACTAGCGAGCCTTCTGGCTATGTGAGTGTCCATGGGCGGCGGTATCACTTAACATCAGACGAACCTCCTGCTAGTTTGCCTCCTACCTATTAAATAAAAAAAACGGTTTTTGAGAATTTTTTTATAAAGCTTATTTTAATTCTAGCTTTAGTATCATTTTAAACCTTGTTTTCTATATTCTTATATCCGAGTATATTATGTATGTACTCTCCGGAATATCTTTGATTAAAGTATTATTATTTTATAGAAAAAGGCAAAATGCTCACTTGATGTTCAGCTTGAAACTGCCAGAAGGCTTGCAAGAGCGTTGTTCTTTTATTAATAAAATAAACTTACAGATATTTCTTATTTTCGTAAACATCAGATAACCCCAATACGTGTGGATGCTCAATTAATTTCATTATGGCTATTTCGCGTTCCACCTGTAACAAACATATTAGAAATTAATATCTTTCACTTCTCATGTAAATACTTACAACTTTACTTTTTAAAAGGAAACTTTGCTAACCTAAATATAGGTATTACTATTCGAAGGTTATAAGTTAACAAGACGTTACATTTACCTGTATCATACGCTTGAAATACTAAACCGTTTTCGATGGATCGTGTAAATATTTTACGATCATTTTATATTTAAACACGTATATAATTGGGCCACGACAAATTACTGAAATTACTTACTGTACTTTTTATATATTTTTATTCTTCGTAAGATTTTTCTTTGATTTTAATTATGATAGTTATTAAACATCTTAAATACTCGATTGAATCGAACATTACTAATTAAAACAATATTCTTAACCTACATAGAAATTTATGTTACATTTTGTAATATAGAAATTGATAAATAAAATTTTAAACAAATTTAAAAAGTTTGGTCCCTGTGGCAGTGTACCTTTAACGCTGGCAGCATTTCCTCTCTGTATTGAGATACTTATTCGTTGAGCGAGGAAAGCACCAGCTCTGGGGTCACCGGTACTATCTACCAGGCGCCAATTTAAATCTTAAATTAGCGCCTGTGCACTTGAACCCCATGACCCAAGAGTCTCTACTCCAAAGGGAACAAAATCAAAGTTGGAGGAAAGACTCTTATATTTGAGCAGTTTATTACTTTCCGCCTGCTCTTTCGCCAGCTTTTGTGCTTGTCTGAGAGAGGTGAGACGGGGCTAACGTGTCCACACAAGTAGCATCCCATAGCCAAGCCCGTCCCATCCCATAGTTCGGTTTAATGTTATCCCTTTGATATAGAGTGCGCATTGCCGTATGCCATAAGGAATATACCTAATTCGACGGAAGTCATAATATATAGTACTCGATTCTTAATCAGACCCTAAGACTTCTTTTACTTCCAACTAGACTCTTCTGTTGGCTTTCCTTAACAACAATTTTCTCGTACATTACTTATCTATACTCAAATTATTATATTTACCTTCATAAGCACAGATTCGCTAAGTTTTTCTCTGTTGATAATTTTGATTGCCACCTTTTTACCAGTTACACAATGTACACCCAGCTTAACGAGGCCTGAAAGCAAAAATACCAAAATTATAGTTTCTTAAAGATATTGTATCTTTTGGTACATTTAAATGAAAATTGGTGTCTTTCTGAATACTTCGTTATTTAACTGATATTATAGAGAACGTACATAAGTATTTTGCCTATTTAAAGTTTCTTTTCTTTTTCTGACTTTCGATTGGTTTATTTAGTTTTGTGCCTTATAAGATATAACTCAGTTCTTAATGAAGTGTTTACTGTAATATCGACATGCAATTTCATTTTTTATAGAACAGGTGGCAAATGTGTACGAGGCTCATTTGCTGTACATGATACACATACATTGCCAGAGGGTTCGCAAGTGCGTTGCCTGCCTTTCATTTATTACAAAGCGTGATTTTCTCGGTTCAAAAACTTTGCGATAAAAATATTTACGAAGATGATCTTTATTGGTTTTAAGAAAAAGTTTTCAAAACAACAACCGATGTGTTTTTCAAGTAATGGGCGCATCACATTTCATTATTCTAAGAAAGCTTTGTATTTATATAGAGTTGTTATAATGATAATTTTATATTTAATTGTAAACGTTTAAATGTGTGTCTTTTTTTGCTACCAAACTTTTTAAAACACAAAAATGGACTCTGGAGCGTTCTCCAGATAATAATAATATAAATGACGATTCATTTATTGTATTATTCCAGTAATGCCTAAGTTAATATGAGATGGGTGTAATGATTTTTTTGTTCATTTATATTATTATCATATAACTATATTATACTCCAACTATGAATTGTTTAATAAATATTGTACATGTAAATGTGATATACTTATTGTATTGCAACATGCTGTTAACATGAAATAGGACGAGACGAAAAATTCAATTTCGAGAAGTAGGTCATACTTCCGACAGTTGAAATTCAATTTAATACATGGCAAACACAGACACACCGCCAGCGCTAATTGTAACTTTATTTCCTGTCCGTACTATTTAATCTATTTTTATTTTGGCATAATTCACGCGATTCAGTGTCGAAGAGGCAAACTAATAGTAAATGATTGTATATATACTTTCATTATTTTTATGTTTCCGTATACACCTGAATAGAATGTTGCATTACTCAATATATTATAGTATAATTGTTTTGATTTACGACACAGTCACACTATGTCACGGCCATATGCCAATGTAGACAATCCAATTACAGTTAAGTGCGTCTGACTTTATTTTAGCACAAAAACCTCTCAAGTGCAACAAAAGGGGTCTAACGTAAACAAAGCATTAAGGTTGTACTGTTCTATCTAAATTTATAACATGTAACGCGCCATTTTCATTAAAACATGCCCATGGCTTAAATGCATTTTGTGAATTTAGTTTGGACTAGAACTGTACTCTGTGCGTTGACATATCATTATACAAAAGAGCAAAAGGTGAATATTAGATATATTCTCTTCAGTCGCACTCTTGATTTCTAAAGATTGTGTTAGTGGCGCCGCACAAATTCAAATATAATTAATGCATTTTATATCTAATATCATTTTATATACTCTTGTTTTTTCATGACATTAAATTTTATGTACCCTGATATTGAAAAAGACATGCGGGTCAAACGTGATACCTCATAAAATTGTTATTAGTAAATTAAATACAATACAATTCAAAAAACCTACACAATAAAATGGCGTTTACAAATATATTGATTAGGAAAATGTTAATCCGTTAACAGCTCTTTATAATTCCATGTTAAGTGAGTACCATCTTCGGCTGTAAGTACTAAGTAGATCAACGACATCAACGACAATCAAAATGAAGACTTTAGTGTGGTAAGTTGTCTTTGAATTAATAATTAAAATTCTATATTCACTAAATATTTATAATAATATATCGTGTTACGAGAACGGTATGTTAAAAGCTTTACTTCAAGCAAACTTTGTAATACCCAGGGCATATTTTTTTACTGAACCGTAAAAGTCTGTTTCACTGATGACCAGCCTCCTGTGGCATCCATTACTTATATTAGGAATCCATCAAGGGCTTAGGAATATTATTATTCATTTTACAGCATTATTTTGATCCTCATAGCGAGGGTACTTGCAAAACCTACTTTAGAGTATTTGGGCGCGATCGAAGCTGTGCCGCCTAGTGTTACTCTGTCACAATTGAGCGATAGTCGTATAGATGGAAATGGGATCCATATAAGTAAGTTAGAATTTCTTCATTATTACAATTTATAATAATTATTACAGTAAAATATAATGAAAAATAGACACCATTGTTTCATACTTGTGTTTATGTATAGCAGTTGTCTGTGGAGATTTAATTCTGTGTGACATAACAACATTATTTCAAAAACCATATTTTCTTTGACGTTTGTTACTTATCCTGTTAGGAGCAAAGGATCAAACAAACAAAAAAAAAACAAAAATCATTTATTCGTGTAGGTAACACAATGTACACGTATGAAAGTCAAAAAAAAAAAAATATAACATTAAATGCTTCTAATTTTACGAGAACGAGAAACGAGTAAAATGTTGTATACACTACTTTTATTTAATTACTAACTGTGAGAGCAAATTAAACTATATTTTGGAGAGAATTATTTATTTTGCCATCTCCTGATAGTAACAAACGTCAAAGAAGAATATATGGCTTTTGAAATAATGTTGTTATGTCAAAATCTCCACAGATAACTAGGTAATGCTATACATAAACAATTTGTGAATTGCAAAAAAAAATATTGTCTACACACACATAGTTGTGGTATAATAAAATTACATGGTTTAGGTATTCGATCGATTCGAGGGGAACAATCATCAATAAACTCATGACCTGAAGACTGGCTTAAGGAATTTTTAAATTTGCAACTTCTATACTAAACAATTTATTTTTCAGATCAACTCACAAAACCCCTCTTTCAAGTTGTTCTAGACGAAAGCGATAATAAAAGGCGAGTTCAACGATACAGAGACATATTTTAATTTGTATTAGAAATGATAATAAATATGTAACATTCAAACGAATTTCAATAGAAAATACCCCACTCATGAATTACTCAATGATATTCATAAACACTTACATAGACAATGTAAATATTACCCCATACCCATATATTTTCATCTACAGAAAACTACTCACTATGTTTGAATATGTAAGATGTAAGCAAAGTTATTTTAAGGGAATCAAAAACAAATAACATAATTTAATGGTATTGGTACGTCTCAACCAACGTAAGACAAGAACATACCAGTTTGCCCCTTGCCCAGGGTCTTTTCGAGGCGAAAAGGCCCCACATACTGGTAGGCCTCCGTGGCCGTGGTGCCCCCTTCCATGTTTACAGCGTCATGTCGACTCTTGGTGGACTCTCAATCCTGCTTGGACGGTCATTATATCTGGAAAACACACAAGTTATTTTTCGTATGAGCCCTTTACTTTACCTTATTCTAAAGAAAACAGGCGCAAATAAATGTATCTGATTAAGTCATTTGGAACGAACTTTCCTTTTTGATTGATTTCTGTAGTAAATTTTTTTTTCATATTTAACTATAGAAATTAATGAGTTGTAAATATAGTTAATTATTATAATATTGTTTTCAGCAACGATAATTAATTCTAGCGCCTGCTATAAAAATTCTTAGCAAACAAACTACGCAAACGTCACAACTCGTATCTGTCATACGATTCAAATATTTTTAATAAAAAATATCAATCAATAATATTAACCCTGATAATTTTTTGGTAATAATTGATAATCATTGTTCATGTTGTACCTACTCAATATTTTTTAAATCATAAGATACCTATTTCAGTTACATTCTGAAATATCTAATATGAATGACGGCGAAAAATCAAGAAAATTTAAATGCTTAAAAGAATTTAACGAGTAAGTACCTTAGCGTGAAAGCAGTTTTAAATTACCTGAAGTATTCTTGACCTATTTTTTATTGTTTGGTTTGCTTTTACTAGGCCCAGAAATGTAATATGGAAGCCACAGGAGGCCGAACATAACTTTCTTGAACAAATACTATTTACCCTTCGTCTTCTATAAAAGAAACTTGCTTGTTGATATTCCTAGTTGACGCTTATCGTACCCACTATGTAACATATTCATTTGTATAAGCTATACACCAATAAATACTTCACGAACAAGCAAATCTAATTTGTATTATCTAAGAACTTCATTTACTTGCCGGGACATAAAGCTAACATTTTATCATCGTCAGACTGTTCATTTATAATTGATAACTTAACGCGAATTAAGAACAAATTAATTTAAGTTGACCATGGAGATCGGAGGACCGGTGACCCCAGAGCTGGTGCTTTCCTCGATTTCAACAAATAAGTATTGCAATACAGCAAGGAAATGCTGCCAGCTTTAAAAGTACTGCCACAGGGACAAAACTAAATAAATTAGCTGTTTTTATATTTATTATTATTACTATGTAGGTTAAGACTATTGTAAATTCTGTATATTTGTGTGTTAATAAAGGGTAACAGATATTGTATTTATTAAGAGAAAAGGACTTAAAATAGATAGGAATACATATATTTTATATTGTCGTTACTATAAATAAACTTGTCAGTGATGGCATAGCTCGTTAATTTAATTAATTTTGATATATTTCTAAGCGTTAAAGTATCATTAAAGTTAAAAAATATATTACGAAAAAAGATCAGTTAAAAGATCTTTATTACGAAAGTAGAATTTTAATTCAAATCATGTTAATAAATTAGCCAAATCGAATCATTAATTTAAAATCTAATATATACAATATACATATTTATGACACAACGAATACGGTTTTGACAAACGTACTCATAGCGCTAATTCCCGACTTAATCGTACCATTACGCCTATTGTATATAACAATTTAAAATAAAGGCTATTTATGTATTAGCTTTGTGTATATAACATTAATAATTAAAAATTACAATCATACCACAATTACACAGATTGCCTCAATTATTAAGTTCAGGATTCAAATCGGCGATAAAATCTTTGCCTGAATACATAATCATAGCCTTTGCTGCCGATTGACTTATCGTATTGGGTCACTTTAAATAAATAAACGATTGGCATAATCCCAAAAGAATATTTGTACCGCAATCTGATCTTGTGTAGAAAATTAAAGGCGACTGCAGATATAATTGAGAGATTTTTTTTAAATGGGCGTTTATTTCAGTTAAATAATTTTTGAACGAACTTTAAATACTTTCTAATATTTTATGAATTTAATTTGTAAAGCCACATGCTTTATTGGTTTTTTGTGCCATTTTGGTACCGTTGTCGATTTAACTTCTTATAAATAACCCGCGTATATCAGACACACTGGTTGTGAGTTCGACTGCGTAGAAGACAAAAAGTATTTTCTTATGCTAATAACAACGTAATTTTATTCTATGACAATATTCTTGTAAATTAATTAATATATATTTATCATTTGTATTTAGATAGCAAGCGTATCTCATATTTTTGCTAACATCTCTTAGCAAATCTATTGATTTGAAAAATCTCTTTTTGTATCTGTATAGTTATTTTTTTATTATATTGACATTTTATTGTACAATTTACTTAATTACAAGCGCTTATAAGAAATAAACAGTGAACAATGTGGTCATTGTTAATATTAAAAAACGTCGTTAAATAAAAAGAGGTCGAATTTAAATTATTAAATATTATGCGATTAACAATCGATCATAGATTCGTGAATAGATAAATTCGATATTTCAATTTATTTTAGCACACAAATGTTTCGTCTCTGGTTTCTTATAATATAAAACGTTATATATTTCTATGAACACATAAGTGAGAAGTAATGGAATGTATACATTACCTTAAAAGAAACACTAAAACAACACTAAACACAGGTTCCGCATACAACGTCAGTCACTAAAAAATCAATATTCCTCTCATCACGTTTTTGAACACAAAAATAGATTTACATGGCGAAACTTTGATTTTGAATATTTTTACACCTAACTAACTTGGTAAAATTGTAAAAAATATTTTATTTTGACTAATTACATAATTGTGGTGGTGTAAAAATTGTTTTTGGTGGTATATCGCAAGCGGGGCGCTCGGTTTTGATCGGCAAACATCGGGGCTAGTCGGAGGGTTGAATCACTTTCGAGGGGTGGTTTTGCGTTCCGTTTTACGTACTAAATAAAACAAGGGGTGAAATTTATTTTTATATTCTATTATAATAAGATACATTTTTACTTCGCCTTCACTTCTCAATATTTAAAATTTTATATATCTATTAAAGGAAATTGTGTTTATATAAATATATTATGTAATCCGTAAGTAGCGCCACGCCACCTAGATATAATTTATAGAAGTTTGACTTTTTTCCTGAATTTAACCGAAACTATCAACGTAAAATTGGCATAGGTGACTTAATTATTTGTATTGTCTCTATGTAAATTTATTTTTTAAATGTATTTTAATTAGAACGACTTTTGGCCTTAGAGGTGGACAACATTTTTAAATCGCTTAATAAAATATGTACATTCAATTCCTAACTAGAATAAGTATAGTTTGACTTCGTTAGCTACTTTATGCCATGTTTAGAAAGAAAAAAACAATTTTTGTGCAGCATTTTAATTGTGCTTTCGCCATAGTTATTTCATTAATAGTAGGTACTAGTAAGTTACAAATATTTCCTGTTTTGTAAATATTAGTATAAATGTAGTTGTATAGATTTGTGTGTTGATATCCCCTTCTCGTAGTGACTTTAAAAAAATATTAAATTACTATTTCTAATTGACACTTTAGTTTTTGTTACCGTTAAGAGTGGTTGTCTAAAAGGTAAAGTAGTTTTTGTTAAATTTTTAAATACCTGCCCCCGTTTTTCCCTTACTTAGCTTATAAAAAGTCAAATTCTTATACGATTTTTGGAGATCTCGAATTAACCATTAAGCAATGTTTCTACTATATTTTTAAATTAAAAAATGACGAGGTTTTTACTACGACCAGAGCCACCTTTATTTATTTAAAATTTATATGTACATAAGTCACAATAGAAACAAGATAAGATTTATAATAAAATTTCAGATCAAAATGCAAGTTCCGGAAGAGCGCTATAACATACTTATGTCTCGCTACGACGAATTTGTCGAGGGTATGGGAAACCCCGATATAGCTCCTGTGAAAGTATTCGATGCTTTGTCCCAAAAGCAAAATGAGGAGCTGCTGTTGATAAGAGAAATCAGTGCCTATCTACAGAAGAAGAAAGATGACGATATTGCGAAGCAGAATGTGAGTATATTTCATAACACCTTTTATGGGATAGGAGGCCGACCAGCATCACTTTGAAAAAAGTCATAACCGCTGCGCAAGGACACATGCAACCCCGGAGGCTTGCAGGTGTGTTTCCGACCTTTCAAGGAATGGTACGCTATTTCCTTGAAGGTCGTATCGGTTTGAAAATACCTCTACGGGCAGCTGGTTTCACAGAGGTCGTACGCGGCAGAATGTGCCTAATTCTTAACAAATGTTATTAGTGTGAGCCGATTTTGATGGTTTTTTCTCATTTAGAAATTTTTTGATTTCATGCAAATAATTAATTATAATTAAATAATCAAAGACTGGAAAAAGAGTCATTATAGTCAATAAAGTTCAGTTTACATTTGAAAAATTAAATAAATAAATATTTATTATTATTTTCTAATATTGATTAGTATTGATTTAAATATTCAATTTAAATCACTTCTGATTATAATTCAGACGCACATATAAAATTCGCACTTGTATAATGAAAACAAAATGAAAACACGTGTTTTAAATGTAGAAACTCAAAGCATGTGGATTAATATTATAAATACACAGTGAACAGAGGCGGCGTGCTTGCCAACATGCGCCACTAACTTCATTCTGTTAATTTTGTGTCACGGTGCCCGCGCATCGTAAAGTTTCACTCTCATCAATTTGTCATAACGCGCCTAAAGAAGTATAACTTCAAAAAAGCATGGTTTATTTTTTATGGTCTCGGGTGGAAGCGTAGATTTGATCAACTATAGTTGCTGGAAAATAAGACCAGTGTCTTGAGATGAGAAGCGCAGTGGTTTAGGCGCGTTTATAGGTTTTTTCTGCTAAAAGTTAATGCGTGAAATATCCTCTACATCGCAAATCTTACTAAGTTACGTGACGATACTAAACTTACCTCATGAAAAAAACAACAGCGGTTTCACTTTTCGAGAAAACACTATTTAGTTAGGTTTATAACCTACTCGTAATTGTCATTAAAAAGTCTTTACAAGATATAAATGCTATTATACAATGTTAAATCTCTATATTTTCTACAGCAAACTGAAACTGAAGAAACCGCTGAAAAAGAAGAGACGAAAGAAGGGTCTGAAGAAGAGACGAAAGAAGGGTCTGAAGAAGAGACGAAAGAAGAGTCTGAAAAACAGAAATCACAATGATGGAATTAATTTATTTTTCCTAGGTTTTAAGCTTGAAATATAATAATTAAATAAATAATTCAAGAAATTTTATTAAACCTTTTTAAAGATCTTCCCGATTTCAATCCACCTACTAACGATATGATACGATACGAACTGACAGTCGTAATTGTTACGAGACGTTGATTTTTCCACATACCATTAGATAACTATTCCTTTGTATGTACTGTCTTACTTGGTTCTCGCGACTTCGTCAGCGTGAAAATACATTTTATTTTTATATAGATATATGTATATACTATATTTTTTTAATGTCGATAATCTTTATAACGCCCTTTTAATCAGACTTTGCTATGCAATTTTTAGCATTTAGAGTTACTTTAATTGCGTTTATATATATATTTTTCTGAAAACGGCTTTTAAGAAATAAACCGCGAAATTATAATAGGTACATGAAAAAGAATTAGGGGTTCAATACTCTTTTCTTCATGAAAAAAATATTTGTATTGTTTTTTATAATATATATTATATTTCTTATTTCTAATAATTTATTATAAACATATATAAGACTGAATAGAAAAAAAAAAAAAAAAAAAAAAAAAAAAAAAAAAAAAAAAAAAAAAAAAAAAAAAGGGGGGGGGGGGGGAAAAAAAAAAAAAAAAAAAAAAAAAAACACCCCCCCCCCCCCCAAAAATTTCGAATATAGTACTGTACTAAAACTGGGTAATAAGACAAAATCTAAAGCTTAATATTTATTGTGTAAAAAAATCACATAAGCAATACTTAAAACTGTGATATAAACTTAAAATTAAAAAAGGCAATATGGCTGATTACTTAAGATTATAAATTGTATGTTTCATTTCATATACTTGAATCATGATTCAAGTCCCATGTAAGGTATGTCATTGTTAATCCAAATTAATTCAATAAATAAATATTCATAGATTTAGAAACATTTTATAAAGAAATGTTTAAGGCTCATCTTTACAATATAAAAAATCACACTCCTGATATGACAAATTAGTCACTATCGTCAGATCAAAAATTGCATACTGCTTTCATACATGTAAGTACTCTTTAAAATGAGAATTAAAACAACTTTATATTTGTAGAAGCTTACTAAGTTTAAATCCAATTAAATTTTAGTTAGGAAGCTATCAGAAATAAAATCAATATAATTTATGTTATTTTAAGTAGCCAGTCATATAGTAAGGTATATTCCGATGTTATTGGTTAAAAATAATTACTTAGATTATATATAAATAAATACAATGTTTCTCATAAAAGGAAATTTATAATATATTCAGTATTCTTTAAAATTAAAAATAGGAACCAGAATTGCAATTTTTGTATGTACAGATTATACCTTACTTTGCCTTAGCACTATAGGTTATACTTCCTACACTAAGAATTATCCGTCATTACATCATCATCTTCATCTTCAGGGTCTGCTAGATCAGGGTGGCAGACACGAATATGTAGGTTCAAGTTAATCTTAACAATAAAACTCTTACCACAAGTTGTACATTTATGTGGTCGCTTGACATCATCATCAATTGTTGATGGATGTGCTCTGGCTATATGTGTCCGAAGCAAAGTTGAATGCATTGTTCGGTCACATTGATTGCATTTTACTAGACAGTCCATAGGCTGCCCTTCATGGCTCTGGCGATGCTTTTCCATAGTAATCTTTGATACAAAGAGTTTCTGACAGCAATCGCATTTGAAATTCTTCACTTTAGAGTGTTTTTTCATATGAATCTTTAAGCAGTTTTTAGTAGGGAACATCTCATCACATTTAGAGCACTTAAACTTTTTTATATCATTGTGGAGTTGCATATGGAGCTTTAAATAAGCTTGCCCTGTGAAGTTTTTATTGCAAATTTCACAATTAATAGTGCTTGTTGTTGAATGAGACTGCATGTGACTTTTAAGAAATTGGGCGGCTACAAAGCTTCGATCACATACCTGACATATATACTTTTTAGCTGCATTTCCTTCGTGCTTACTATGATGTATATCCAAATGGTACTGAGAATTTACTTTAACATCACATTGATCACATTTGAACTTCCTCCTCTTTTTAGGACCTTCTCTTACAACCATTGTAGGTTCTGGTACCATTTGTGGAGTATCTTTTTCATTCCCATGAAACTTTTTATGTAAAATCAAGTATTCTAAGCCGTCAAACGTTAAATCACAATCGTCACAACAATAACGCACCGTGGCTTGTTTTGGTTGCATTTCGTAGGTGACATTCTCCTGACCATTATATGATTCTGCCATTTTTTCACGTTTTACACCAGATCTGTCGTTGTTGTCGCTACCGGCCGGCTCCATACTCTTCAACAGTGAACGGTAATTCCAAAATTATCCCGAGTCCTGTGACGCGATGCCTATGCCATTGTTCTATTGATCGGTAATTATCAATTATGTCAAGAAATAGCACAATTTTAAGATTTAAGGTACAAAAATTTAAATTCACACTATTGTTTACATGATTGTGATGAAGATTTTAAAACATTTTTGAGTGTAATACAAAAGGAAGCCTTGTTACGATACGATAAATTCCAAAAGAGAAGCGAAGCGCGTTGGTTTTTTTTCGTCAGACAATGACAGCGTAATCTTTTTTGTTTGACAATTGATTGTTACCAGTTTAAAAAATATATATTACAGAAGAACAGAATCGTATTTATACCGAGCAAATTGATGACATTCATAAGCATGCCCTAAGACGCATCTAAACTGAATAAACGTATTTACTGTTTTGATTTGATGAAAATTTAGTGCAGAAATTTCATAAGCAAATTTAATAGGATAATATAGAAGACACAGATGGTTGTACATTATACAACCGTTAATAATTAAATGAAGTAGTCTGTGTATTCGCTAC